GGGATCGACTCTAAAATTTCCACATGAAAAAGAGATAAATATTAACAAAGTAATCAATTCGTGATATCCCACCTGGCCACTACGTTATAGCAGGAATATACCAGTTCCACGAAAATGTATCTGACGACAGAGAAATGATACATATACGGTTAAACGTTAACCCCTGGCAACACGGTCACTTCCATTATGCGCCCCGCGAACGATACGTAATTATTACTTAAGTAAAACAGAGTTTTCAGAAAACACTCGAACATAAATGGTACCTTCCGCCTTAGCTTTCCGGTTGAGGGTGGTATGGGTGAGTGGTGGAAGCGTAAGTTGCGTTGAAACTGTAGATACACTCGCTTTGAATGATTACAAGTATCTAGAGCACGGTTGGACGCCAATTCCATGCTTATAAAACGATTCGCACATGTTGTGGTGCATTCAATCTGTATTATCTTGAGATGACAAGTATAGGCAAATAGCTTGGAGCGGGAGAGACAAGTGGAAACGCCGCCGAAAGGTGGACAGTAGATAGGTGTCTAGAGTATGACCTTTATCTCAGTTCTTGTCGTGTCTAGCATCACCAGCTATCATAATCATATTGGTTCATCATTTGAATCGATAACCATGGTTCATTCGTTCGTCGAGAAGAACAGAGGCGTGAATACAAGAAACAGCCAAAAATGTTCCGAATTCAGTCATTTCCAAGATCTTCACCACCGGTTCTGCCAGCTTTACGCCGTCCCAGAAGCCAATCAGTTACTATTCTTAGGCGAAGAGCAGCGGGCCGGCTTACACCTCCGAGACCTAGGCTTGTATGGGCCGGTCCCAAGAAAATCCATTACATTGCACTCACATATAGTAAACCTGTTTTCTTCGCTGGTGGGCTCATTCTACGAGCGAAACTACATGTAGGTATACACAGAGAAGACCGACACCTTGCGCAGAAGATGATCTGAGGACTAAAGGTTTGCAATCCTCTCTTGAAATAGTATGCTTGGCACGTTTCATAGTATTGGAGGATTCTCATTTGTCATCATGAGTCACAGGTTCTGACTCATTCTTTCTCTGGTTTTTGTTAGTCATGTTTTTCTGTTACTTATATGGCTATGGTTCTTTATGTTTTGTATTACCTTTCTTTAATATAAATACGGGGTATTCTCCCCTCTATCTAGTTGAATTAATACGCTCAATACTTACACTTCTCTACATATATTTTCTCTAGCTTATGAGCCCAGATACCACTCATACTTATACACTACAAAACATTTTTACTATCAAGTACACTATATCATTTCACTTCAAATATGTCGAACAACAGCATAAAAATTCCCGCTTTACTATATAGGTAGTCTGGCTAATGCCATTACACTGTTTGGAGGGACCTTGCTTGTCGCACGTTAAAAGTTCACGATTTGTGGAATCTAGTCAATGGTACAAGTAAGCATCCTGTATTCACCACAACTACTACTACAGTTACAGCGTCACCACATGCAAAACGACTACCAGAAGAGGACAAAGAAGAAACTACAGACAATGCCAAAGAAATCAGTGAACGAGATAACAAAGATAACCTCGTAGTTGTGTTCCTTCAATCCAACATTGAATTTGAAGTCATTCTCATGCTCACTCCAGCTGATACCACTCACCAACTCTGGACTCAACTCGAGGACAGATTTCATCGGAAAACCGTATCTTCCTTTCTGTTACAAATCTTCTGTCAGCCTAGCCCCAAGACTATGAAAACGGATCCGTTATGCGAAAACGAGTGAGTCATCATGAGTCTCCGGGAGTTTCCGTGGTATTAGTCATCGGTTATTATTAGTTGTTATCGGTTGTCATTTGCTTATTATATAAGGGTCTCTTACCCCTCTTTGGCTATCTTTCCTTTCTTCTCTACTCAACATACTGTATTATACTTTGGGTTATTACTTGTGGGATTGACTTCACTTCAATACAGACTTCATCTAAAGCCATGTTACGTCTGCTGTTCCTAAATGACTACCTTTATTGTTATCGCTGTCCTCTTGGTCCTCTCAACCATCGCTGCTCCCCTCTTGGCCATTGTCACCCTTACCATCCCCTCATCGGTTGTAAAGACCCCGTTGCCTTCGTTGTCTTCCTTGTCCTTGTACGAGTCACCCCTCACGCCCTAGCGTGAATTACTGTCCTTGTCCTTGGACGACCTCCCTTGATATCCCTCAACATCTTTATCTAGCCTCACTCATGGTTCTTTACACTTTCACTCATTCCTTACCAACGTTGTAACCATACAGTATACGGCTGACAAATGCATCAAGGAATATCTAACCCAGTTTAACACTATTTGGTCATCTCTTCTCACTAGAACTTGTAACTCTATGGACAAAACTGAAGACCCACTCGGTTATCACATGAGCAAGCTTGGGTATTACCCAGGGTACAGCCCCTTTGTCTTGGTGGGCATTCCACGCCCCGAGCTCCTACGAATGCCAACGCGAATGCTCACCCGAGTGGTTCCACGAGTGCTCACAGAGCACTCACCAATACTCACAGAGCTGAGGCATTCGTTATACCCACTCAAGGTGAAACAACCCACACTTTGCTTTCTTTGTATTGATACGCTATCGTAAAAGATTAGGAAGGCATCAATCTCTCAAATGATATCTAACATTGGTATCCTCAGCTCCGCTATACGGTGAGTCACGGGATATTGGTATGAGCCCTGTCCTGTTTCCTAATAACGACTAGCCAAGCTTTGACGGAGGTGTATGTTTCTGTCGATTCATGAAAGGCATAATTAGCCTTGAGGTCGAGGCCATGGTACGGCTCGTTTGAAAAGCTCAATGTCCAAATATTAGTAGCAAACATGGACTGGTATCGCCCTCCTGGAGTGAGCTTGCTGGATAGCCAGATTCAGATACTGAGCGGCCGAAACTTTACCTTCTTCTTGCAATCCGCATGCATACCAGAACGATACGAATTTTGAATTAGAGAGTTCAATTGGGTCTAACATTCCCAGGGCACTCATGAATACTCTCACGGCTTTGCAAGCATTCAACTAAATTCATTTTATATATGCAAGTCTATCCTAGTATTTATTGCGGGTTTCCACAAGTAAGTGTACACTGACATCGCAACGCGCCGCCCCCATGAACACCTCAACGAACAGCACATTTACAATCCCAGCCCAACATAACCAAAGAGTGAAGTTAACAAAAAGTCCTAGACATAATCCTATACCAACAGCCCATCTCACACCCTATCAGAGAGGTCAAATTGAGGGCATGCGAACTCAGGGTACACCCTTAAGAGAGATTTCTCACAATCTTTCTATCCCACTATCCACTGTAGCCGCAAACCACAACACGCATTGTGGGAGAAAGGATGGAAAGGACCTAGCTAGGCAGGGAGCTCCTAGGAAGACCTCATCAAAACAAGATGCTCAAATTTTGGGCTCAGTTAAGTAACCGTGAACAAACTCACGAAGACATTTGCGATGCGATCGCACCAAGCGTTTCGATCACGACTGTGCGACATCGCCTACTTGAAACAAACCTAAAAAAGTGACAGGAAAAATAGAGAACTCACCTAGACGATGAAGTTGCCAGTCTGAGACTAGATTGAGAATTGGAGCACCGGAATTGGACCAAATCAATATGGAAAAATAGGTGTATGTGGGGGGACGAGGTCACGGTAGAGAGGGGGGGGGGGAAACAATGAAAATGAATTTTCCGATACCCTCGAGAGAAGTGGTTGAAGGATAATATAGAGCCTCTAGCAAGGACGAGTGAGCGCAAAGTCAGTCAGATGATGACTGGCTATTTTATGGGGCAGAAATATGGGTTGTTCTTACCTGTGTATCCTGATCCAGAGTCTTGTGGGGGAGGGGTTACTTCTAGAAGTCTCATCACTGTCATGGAGGCATATTTTCTAGATATTTGGGACGAGATAAAAAGAGAGAATGGAGGAGAGGAGGTCTATCTTATTATTGATAATGCAAACACACATTTACCACTTAAGAGGTGGCTCCAGGAGAGAGGGATTTCCCTTAACTCTATACCAACCTACTCTCCAGATCTCAACCCTATCGAGCATATTTGGGCTCTAATAAAGGGTAGATTGGATAAACTGTATCCCAGACTCTATGAGTCAGAAGGACGAGATGTAAAAAAGAGAATTGCGGATGCTATCACACATTGTTGGGAATTGTTAAAACCTGAGGTCTTTGAGTCCTTGGCAGAATCAATGGTTCATCGGGTTCAGGCAGTAATTGATGCTGAAGGATGGTATACCAAGTATTAATATACATTAATTTTCACTATCAAAGTATTCTTCTACATTTAGAGGGCCGTTGGTTGCTCTAATTACCATCCACGTCGGGGGCGTAGATGGCCTTGCTATGTCAATGACTAGTGTACGCTTACTTGTGGAACTCCACAATACCAACCAATTACCAGTCTCCACCTCAAACAAATGAGCCATTCCCAATATGCTCTGAATATTAACGACCCACATCCTCTTCCTCCTCCTCCTACAAACTTTCAGGAGCATATCCGAGCTATCAGCGATACCACTACCCTTTGCCTCGAGTAGCTCCACTATAGATATTCTATATGCTCACCCTCCACTGTTCTGCAGCTTGAACAAAGCCTCCATATATTCTTGTAAACGTCCCCGAAATACTCCCTACTCCACTGAGGATGCTACCGACATCATACTCAATGCTTTCTTATTTTCCCTTTCCTAAAAGTTGCATTGCCCGTACACCTAATATTGTAAACCTCGTACACCTCAGGTCTTTGGAAGATTGGTATCAGAACCTACAAACATGTGAACATCTCCACCCGGTGCTCTAAAATGCTCTCAGAGCTTCCGGCAAAGCTTTTAGAGCATCCCGCATCCTCTGCATACTACTTTATCAGGCGATATAACGTGGTATAGCTTATGTGCAGTCCATCCGGAATATTGAAAAGTGTTTCCGATTTCCTTGAGGGGTTGTAAAAACACTTTAGAGGCAATCCTCCTTCTACTATTTATCGTTCATTTGCAGTTTTTTTCCGGTCTTCGATTTTAACAATCTCATGTAATTCCTTCAGTTTATCTCGATGGCTCCAAAGGATATCGTCAGGGCTCTCAGGACCTCCAATAATATCTTTCAGATTCAGCATTTGATTCTCTAACACCAACCGCCGCCCCCCATAGTCTAGTATCTGCGTTACAGCATCGACCATGTTGGATACTGCGTATGCCTCTTTTATCTGACGTACATGGGCGAGTTCGCTGATGTCGGTAGAGCACTGGAGAATGCTCCCAAAGCGCTTGACATGTTCCCGATAGTGCGATAACACGTGCAATTTGATGAGGTTGAAGTGGGATCTTTCTCGTATCTTGCGAATCTCCTCTAAGCATTGCTGAGCCCTCTGGGAGCCTGAGGGGTTTAAAGCTTTTGTCCGATCTCTCGCACCCTTTACTGTCCTCTTGTATACCTGAAATTCTAAAAAGACATCCTTGTGCTTATGGAAAACCTCGAGATAGCTCTCCATATAACTTAATGTTCTCGTCATATATGTAACGGAGCCATTTCAACTGTCTGGTGTATGAGTACACACAGGGCCCGATTACATGCTGAGAGTTATTGTTAGAAGCCAGTTGCACGGTGATATGCAAGTACCGGCAGTGTGGTTAGCTACCAGCTGTTAGAGTAACTACATTCCGGGCGCTAGGAAGAGGATCTATTCATGGGAGCAATGATTGACGAGTCTATGCCTCGCCAGTGACTAGAAGACCGGCCAGAGTGAAGCTCTGATTGTCCGGTGATCCTCTATATCCTCTGAGCACTGCAGTTCCGCCGAGGAGGTAGGGACTATGCTAGGGAAGTCTACAATAAGCGAAAGCTTAACAGCAATGATTAAGCTTACACCTGAGCGGCAGCTCATTTATGCAGGTCCTCGGTTGTGTGGCAACCAAGGCTGCAGGTGTTACAAAGGCTTTGACTAAGGGTGGTTGCCTTGGGTATCGGAAACACCTGCTGACGCTTAGAGAAAAGCGGGGTAGTGGTGGTATTGCTTCCGGTACTGAGGGAAGGCCCACCGGAACTTAGTAAGGAGTTAGGAGCAGAGAATAGAGGCCTTCGGAGTATAAATACTCAGGTTCACTCTCGCCCTTCAGTCCTGTTCTCTCGAGTCTTCATCAGAAAGAAAAAACCAAGTTCTTATCGGTAGCAGAGCCCTTAAAGATTATTGAGTTCTAGCGATAGTATCTTTGAATAATCTGCAACCTGATTGTCTATCTTGCACGGCCGTCTCTATTCTACTTTATTCTATTTCTCTTAGAAGAGACCCCCGTTACAATATAACTCCCATACTGCGCCATTAAGTGGAAGTCGATTACCCCTTGTACATATTTCAAGGCCTTTGTGAAGTTGCCTCTAACAGCCAATCCTGGGTTTCTCAAAACAGCCGCGAGTGCTTCAAGAATGAGTTGCCTCAGATTTCTTATCTCCTTCCCTTGCCATTCGGTTGTGGCACGATATGCCTTGTTCGGTACTGCCAGTACAGGGGAAGGCGCAATCGAGGACCAAGCCTTGTCAAATCCTCCAATCGATTGTGCTTCTTCAAGAAAGCCTGAAATCACTCCATCATGTGCTTCAACATCCTTAGGTAGATATTGTGCAAAATGTCCAGTTTGTTGATATCGTATGGATTAGCCCCCGGCATACCACAGAAAGCATTGAAGAGTGTCTTCACTGATCTCGCAAAAAGGTATTCCATTCGTCCCAGGTTTTCCGAATTCTCCCTAAATAGCTTTACCCTCTCCCGGTAATCCTCGTGATCACATGTAGGGCTCCAGCGAGTGCTACCAAGACTGTGGAATTCCACCTCCCATCTTGGACAAGAACTAGTACTAATATTTTGTAAGTTTGCATGCTCAGATTGATCAGCGATTCAACCCGACAGCACCGGAAAGCATAGATGCTCGTACCCATCGGTGCATACGATTAGCTCTCCTTCCTGAGAGTGCTCCCGAATGCTCTGAAAGATCTCCACAAGGGCAGGATGCAGCGCAATTTTACTCTGACATCGTAAAGCGGAATTAGCGAATGAGTTATTCCCGAGCTTAGGTGGAACTGGCAATAGACCTAGGAGAATTAACGAATAACCAGTGGGCTTGCTCCGGACCGATGAGTTGATGTTCCTGATGGTAAGATAGAGTGGCCAGGCTTTCATGTCCCCACCAAAATTTGTCAAATGTGTGCCATCTGATGCGCATATAAGTTGTACCACAGTCGACCACTTCGGTATGGTATTCTGTCTAGAAAGCATTAGCGCCTGCTGATAGAGTACTTGTGAGGCTCACCGGACCTGCATCTCCCACCACTAATCTCCCGTATGTATTTCTCCGTACATTCTCTCGCCAGATTCATTATGCTCTACTAATGGTGCGTACACCAATGACTTCCGAAAGGCCCATTGGCCCAGAAGATATCGCACAATTACCATTGGATCCCGGTAATATTAATGGATTTTCTCTTCCCCAATATCCCCCTCCGAATGATTCCAGCTCACCTTTCTCAATATGTCATTGATTTTCTCCAACCTCTTTATAAAATCTCATCCAGTCCTGTAGGAGCACTCGCCACTGCTTGACGGAGCATGTAGAAAGAAACTGTCGATATTTCCATGTGAGGCCTTCGATAGTATGATATAACGTGCAATTCTAAACTCGTATGCTGAGTTGAATAGATACTACAGGTACCGGAGAAGGTTTTCTGAGCATTTATCATAGTACTCTGAGCAGTAGAGATGCTCCTCAGTACCTTTGTAAATCATTGTCGCTGCCTCATGCCTATTTGCATCTCCATCTGCCCCTTCCATCATAAAATCTGGTTCGGATTCTAGATCTGAATTATTATCGGGATCGTGATCATGATAATTGATACTGTTGCTCTCTGAACTATTTGAGTGGTCATGAGCATCTGAATAGGAATCGTGAATGCCTTCTGGGCTGTCGTGAGTGTCATCGGCTATATCTTTATCGCGCTCCAGGAGGAAAAACTGATTTCCCAGTCATTCATATGCTTCAAATGGATGTGTAGTTCAAAGATGTTTATTGAAGTTCGCGGAAGAGCTGTACCGCTTGCTGCAAAAAGGATAAGACGATTTCATTGAAGTCTAACGATGATACCAAAGCACTCGGGAATGCTCTGAAAATTTGTTTTCTGCCAAGGCCGAGGAGGGTCTTTCCTGCAGATGCTGCTGGAGAGTGCTCAAATGATTTGATTTGTCAGCCAATGAGGCTCTCACCTGCACTCCGTCAGTAAGGCTGAATTTCAATCCGAGTCTGATGTCATATATCAACCCAATACAAACACTAACACCAACACGAAGAAATACTCACCACCCTAATCAGGCGGCCAGTTATGCTAGATGCTATCGCTCTGAACATCTGCACTCTCTCACTGAGTACTTGCGGAGTCTTTAGAAATCAAGACAGTGTTCTCAATATCAAATACAATACTAATATCGACTACGGGCTCAAAGAATACATTCTCTATGAATCAGCTTCCTAGAGGACAGAGTATAAACACCAAGAAGAACACAAACACCAACCCCAATACCAGAATGTTATTGACATCACCATTGGTACCGTCCGAGTATTGCCAAGTGCACCTGGAGTATTTAGATCATCAACGTCATATATTGAAGTAAACATTGAGTACGAGGATCCTTGAGTGCTTCTACAGCATTCGTGGGTGCTCTCGGGACTGTGATAAGCTCAAGAAAAAAGCTGATTGTACTCGGTATAAGTGCACGCCTTCCTTCCTTCATGTTTGTGAGAAATTCCTAACCACCTTCAAGTTCTCCTCTACCTATCACTTCAAGTTCTCCATTGCTCTCAACATTACCTGTTGAAATCTCATACGTGAAGTTTCTCCATTTTCAAGTAATTCAACCTTTGCAATCTTTACAAACAAGATGGGATTCCCCTCTCCTAATCCAATTAATCTCAGAACCATACTCACAACAGTGATACATTAACATGATCACAGTCCAAACTAGAGAAAATGTATGTAGCGAAGTGTAGTAATTGAGCGTGTTATTCCAACTAGCTAGAGGGGGGAATACCCTATATTTATACTAAAGAAAGGTAACACGAAATATAGTAAATCATAGCCATATGGGTAATAGAAAAACATGATTAATAAATACCAGAGAGAGAATGAGTCAGAACCGGTGACCCATAATGATAAATGAGAATCCTCCAAAACTATGAAATGTGCTGAGCGAACTATTTCAAGACAAACATCGCTCAGAGTACTCCTGGTAGCTTCAAGAACACAAATAAACTTCCCAATAAGAATCACTTGCATGAGATAGATGAAGACGATAACGAAAAGACCCAACGAAAAATCAAGAAACATAAATCGTCCCAAAAACATAAGAAACACCGAACTTCATCAGATCGCAAATCATCCCGCAAAACTGTCAAGCTTATCCTAGAGGAGATACCAGAAACACCCTCGAGACAGTCACCAGTGCTTTCCTGGTTCACCCCGATCAACAAGAGTCGAAAACAAAACTCCATACCTCCACCAATACAGACTGAACTCCGGACTCTGCCAAATACTAATCTAGCTTCATTGGACACCAAAGGGATCTTCCCAGATAATTGGAGAGTAACCTTAACTGATTCTCACCTCTTTCTCGACTTTGGTTCCAAACTCTCTGAACCATACATAAGTAACGATCAAGACACAGCAACCAGCCCAGCAACAAGCCCAATAGCAGCAGTCTTCACTGTTTCCTCAGTACGCACCAGTGCTTTACCAGAACCCCTTGTATGGACCACTGTACTTAGGGTTAATGCTATCCCCCAACCACCAGCTAGCGCTCCATGAAAGAACTTTGCCTGGAACTCATAGTCACAGGTCAAGTTCTCACTCGGTCGAAGTCTAGTACAGTCTGCTCAACAGGCCCAGCAGCAACAGGACCAACAACAGGCCCAGCAGTTTATACTACTCCCTCACCAGTATGACAGAGATGAATTAGATCCGAGCCATTGCCGATTGTCCAAGAGACATCTCGGAGTATTCAAGAGATATCCCCGAGTTCGAGGACATTCAAGAAGACTCAAGCAAGCAAAGTGAAGATGGCTTGAGGTCAACTCAACCTACCTGAAGTGTACACCAGAATCCTCAACAGCCTCATGGTGGAAATGCAAAATGTAGGTTGGGTCAATAAAAACACCTCTGGATTGGCTGCATTTAATACCCTATGCCTCTACTTAATGAACCTGCCCTCCCTCAATGGTTTTCTGCCAATTTGGACTGGGGGTGATTCCGAAACCTGTAAAGCACTGGCAAGTACTCTTCAGTAGCTGATGACAGATGTTGGTATGAAGGATAAGTTATCAAGAGGACAGGGAGACCATCGGTTCAAAGAGGCTGCCGGTGATAGTGATGATGATGATGACGGCAGTGGTCGGGCAGCCGGAAGACGCCCTCACAAAGTGAAAGAGCATGCAGTACTCCCAGAATTCGTGTGACCTTCCATAATGGTTACCGTAGTAGATTCTGATGCTCTATGGGCATTCTTTATCTTCGTCCCACCACCTACTTCTGACTGCAATGATCCCCTGAACGAGCCTTCATTCATCGGAATTTTGATCAACATAACTTTCCCAGAGTTATGCAACTTGATCCTGAAGTACACCGCACCCGGCAGAGCAGTTAGGACTATCTGAGGGGCAATTGAGAACATTCCCTTAGCAGCTGTTCCTCCCGTTCGGCCAGTGGAGGTACAAATTACAGATTTAGAAGAGCTCGAGGGTTGGTTGAAGAACAGCAATGCCAGGTCTCAGAGAATATTGGTAGTCCTCTACAGAGCGGAAGCAGGTGCTAACCTGGGTGGTGCAGAATCCCCCCTGTTGAACCCGGCCTTTATGAATTGGAGTGTGGGAGAATAGACAACTTGAGGAGGGTTTGAACACGTGTCCTTTGTGAGGACTATGTTTATAGTGCGAAGAAGATACTATTGCGCCGCTGAGTTCCAGCGACAACTATGGGAGTTTGTTGCTCCTTATATACAGATAGTTCTTAGTACCAAGTGACCGCCTGATTACATAATCCTAGCCCTAAGCCTCCTTATTCCAACTATAAGTCATCCCTTACACATGAGTAATTACCATACATAACCGATATTGCAATGCCATATTTTTACAGCTTTCCATCATATTAAGGAAGATGATTATAGCATGATCGATATTCCTGCAGAGGATTCTGATTATGAGGAGGGAAAGCACCAGATAAATGCCAAAGGACTGAGGGTATATATGCAAAGAACTGATGCCAGTAATCAAAGGCTTATTCAGACTCTTGTTTGGCGTCGTGATAGACAGCAGGTTTCATGGATTGATTAGTTAATACACTGGGTTACGAGGAGTTGGATTAGTCAGGAAGGTTCTATTGGGTTCTGTCGGTCGTAAGTGTATGAGTCACTTTGGATTTGTCATCGTTGGGATTTCCTTGGGTATATTAGGAGGTTTCGCCCTCATTTCTGTTCTCTTTCTCTTCTTTCTTTTGATACGCAATGTCTTCTGTACCTACGCTGTCTATTACTATATAATATTATTTCCTCTTTTTTACTCAAAAGAAGACCACCGCACCGCTACTTCCCTTGTCCCGTTGATCCTTACCAACGCTAGAGTCCCTCAGGACCCCTATTGCAGGCTCCCACACCGACCTCTACTACCCTCTTCATACCATGCGGAATACTCGCTACTCGTACCCTTGAGAGCAGGATGCTATTGACGATTTAGACCCCATATACTTTAGGAAGTATCCTTTGGGTATTAGGGTTGCTGACCAAAACTTCATACAGGGAACGACCTGGACACCTGCCGGGATAACAGCCAAGAGAGCTGCTGACACACTCGCGGCTGCTGGTGTTGGAGGTGGTAGAGGTGGTGGAGGTGGAGATGGTGGAGATGGTGGAGGTAGTGGTGGTGGTGGTGATGGTGGTGGAGGCGGTGGTGGTGGAGGTAGCGGGCCAGCTGGAGGCAGTGGCGATGGTGGTAGTGGTGATGGTGGTGGGCATCATTAGTTCCCTTTGGTATAATCTCTCACTTCCCTTCCTGCGGAATTATCACTAACCTTTTAATAGTTGATAGGATTACTCTCTGAGCACTTGTGATAGCTGCTGAGGTATGGTCCTATTTGGTTTTTAGGATTTCCTTTTGGATATCAATGGATGAGTTATATCAGATAAGATTAGATTAGATTAGACTAGTCCAGGTAGTAATTGCATTGCTTTCATTTCAAAGTTGAATCAAACTCCTAGATTGCTCTCAGAGCACTCGGTACCACTTCAGAAAGTGCAGTAAGATGCGTGATGATAAATGATGTGGTTGAGTGCGGAAATAACGGTAACACCGGATGGTCCCTGCTGTATGAACATTAGAGGCGCAGATTTTCTCGCCAAGGATTGATTTCTAATTGAAGATATCGCGAATGCTTCTAGAGTACTGCGGATATTCCTAGCTCTCATCAGAATGGTTCCCCCTAAGCGCTCCTCCGGTACAGCACCTCCTGCATCAAAGCACCCACGACTGCCAATACGACCTGAAGAAGATGGAGAGACTGATGAGTCTGAGATATCTTACCGACCATTGACTCCACTGCCAGCCCGCATTCAGAGTACTCAATCGATCACCGTCACCAAAATAACCTGAAAAGGTCTTCTCCGTTTGTCCGAAACCTCCACTGGTAGGAGCAGTCTTCGGAGGGTAGAATTTCATCTCCCCCTAAACTATACGCCCTTATTGGTTGCAGGAGCTAGTTTTAGCCTGCTTTGATGCATAACTAATTCTTGACAGTTGGTGCTAGTATGACTGTAGCCTAGTATTAAGTGGGGAGCGGGGGTAGTTACGAGATATTTTGTCTCCCTTCAATTAGTTTTCCTCACCGGCGAATTGAGAGCGGTCCTCAGAGGGAAAAAGTAGATACGGAATATTAGTAGTGGCCCACCTCGCGACCATGAGGTCTCCTCCCACCTGAGAATTTCCCCCATCTCCGTGTAATATTTGACTACCTCCAGTAGCTAATTAATAGCCATATCATGGCCAACTCCCACCTCCGTATAGTAGTTGTCCACCTCAAGTAGTTAATTAATTTTGCCCTTATAAGCTTAGCCGTTTCATAGCCAGCTCCCATCGTTGGCCATGGCCAGCTCCTGCAAATGTCCACCTCCTGCAGTAGTGATCCAGTTCCTTCAGGGAATAATGAGGTACATATCTTGACTCATACCATATCCACTTAGCCACCTCCAATGCCACCAATGCCAACTCCAACACCAATCCGTAGATGAGTCTTTCCCATGGCCAATTCCAATGTCATCTCCAGTTAATGCCACCCCTAATATTGCCACTTTGTTAATTAGTTCGGCACGCCAGTGTGACTGCCCGTTCCCAATTCCTTCTTGGGTGAGCCGGTTGCTACGCAGTTGGTGTTTACTAAACCATCCCAGTCGCTATCGACCAATCAGACTGCAAGGCGCTTCGCAAAACCATACCGCAAAATCTCGAGTTATTTTGGGGGTTGCCAAGGCCAACTGCTAAACTAGATTTAGTTTAGATCCTGTAAAAGAGGGCTCTTTTTTTGAAGATCGCTTCCTCTAAAGGTGAAGATCCTCAGCTTTTTGCCTTGGCAACCCCCCGAATAACTCGAGATTTAGCAATAATCCAGTACATAGTAGATAAAGAATATATGAGTTCGACACAGAAACGAAAAAAGTAGGTAGGAAATGACTGGAAATGACTGAAAAGCTTTTATACTCCGAATGTACAAGTTAAAAATGCAGCTACTCTGACCAAGTCAATGACGGCCCTTATCCAGGCAAGTTCCTCGCTGGTATATACCAGTCTTGAATGTCTCGAAGTGGAACAGAGAAGGCCTATGTATGTATATCTCTATTCCGTACGAGCTAAGTACAAGAGTGTAGCAAAAAGTGATCAGAATCTGATAAAATAAATACACGAATCCACCGCAAAATTCACTTATCAGATTCTGATCACTTACCCCCAATACCCGGTACAAATATCACACAGGGTTATCACAGATTGGAAAAGCAAAGCTCAAGCCACTGCTATCATGTGCTGTTTGATGCATAATGTACACAGCTACACTCAACCCGCTAGTATTATGAATAATCACATTTACTATACACTTTAATTAATACATAATGTTACGCGCACTCTCGGGATAGGGGGATTTGTGTACGCAATAGTACATAATATCGGGTATTTTAATTCAACTAATATAATTATCAAGCTATTAGCCTGGGTTGTTTAGCAGATCGATGAAAAAACACTAAATGGTTGATACTCCTACAGCTACTAGATACAAGTGATCTTAATCATTATTATATGCTCCTGGTGGGTTTTTCAGATGTTGAAATTTCTCCTAACGGAGCTAATCAACGTGGACTGCCCACGGAGCTGAGACTATATACCGAGAGATAGCATGTGACACCCCACCGAACTCCTGAATAGGATATATATTCAATACAATCTCCCTCTTACAAGTCGGTATTCGTATGAAAGATCTGCTATTTGATTAGAAATAAAATGGGATCTGTATATAAAAGCCACAAACTTGGCATCTACTCTTTTTTTTTTTTTTTTATGGGGGGGGTCATGATCAGTATATATACTGGCAGACTATATAAGGGATTGAACTGGTGGAAACAGCTCTGCAGCTGACTCCCCCGGCAAAATTCTTGCTTGTGTGCGAGTATTTAATCGAAGTGAGGGTACGTATATTAAACCCAGAGATTTCTCTAGTGGCGATGGGTAATGAATCGGGTAATGAATCGTTTTTACACGTAACATTTGTTTGAGAAATATGTGCTGGGAAAGTGACCATCTGGGCCATAGGCTATGTCCCGAAGAAATGAATCCGATTTACCTGTGCAAAGGCATCCAAGAAATGAATCCTAAGTCTCGTTGGACAAGTTTCTTGACCATTTTCTTAATACAAAAACCGTCTCCTATTGCCAAAAGTGGTAGCCATATGCGGTACTACTTGATGTAAAAAAAAAATGAAAAATAGAGGAAATGAACCTAGGTTATTCAGCTAACAAAACCTAGAATCTATCACCTGAGCCATGAATAATTATAGTTCTTACCTACCTGTGCTTATATAGACTGAACTCATGCGATTTCTTCAAAATTTCATTGAATTTCACTAAGTCTGGATTAATGCATCCCCGAAACGCATCATAGAAATGCATCATGGAAATGCATCATGGAAATGCATCAAACGGCCCTGGAAATGCATCCCCTATCCCATTTCCAACCCATCCCCTCGAGAAATAAATCAAACGATTCGTTTCCCAAATTTACTTTGCAGGGAAAGGTATCGTTCGATTCATTTCCCGACCTACGAGAGTTTCCGTATAAAATATAACGGTATTTACCACATTTGAGGAGCTCTTTAAACTAAACACCAGGTCCTTTATTCCGGTTAGACTCGAATATTCAATTTACTGTAACCTATATGCCACGATTCTCACCTTGACTCCTACCAGAACTAGTACTTCTCCACCTACATGTATCTACCTACCTCATTATCTTTACGACCTCGCATGTGCTGGCCTGCTCGACTACGCGCTCATCCGACGACTTGGAGTCCTGACAGGTGTCAAAACACGTTGCCACGGCTATGTGATTGCAAGTTATGTACTTAAGAATATGTATTAGCTCAGAGGTCTATAAGTTAAGCTGCGGCGGTCGATTAATCTGAACATCAAGAGACTGAAAATATGAAGGCGAAATGCGAGCCGCTTTGACCATCGACAGTACATTTGACCTAGAGATATATACTTCTAGAATTATCAACCATAGATTTTAAGCGACCCATAGCACTGAATAGTGGCTACGACATACACCCGTGTCTAGATAATTCCCGGAGCCCCCCCCCATCATGGCAACTGGACTCCCACGGCTCAATTAACCACAACCAAAGTGAATTTTCATACAAGATTGGACAGGATAGCTAAAGAGAGAATGCAGAATAAGAATATCCTAAATCAAGTTGTGAAAAAGCGTTACTTTGTATCTTTGGCCTCCGCTTTTGGCAGGTCTAATTATACTTGTATGAAACAATACTACAAACAATACTCTTTTAATTCTAGCTCATCAACCATTCATTGCATCAACCCGAAAATATCCATATATGACATAGAGACTATTTCTGTTCTACCTGTATCTACATTTTCTTCTATAGGCATCTGGTTGTTGTTCAGTTTCGAAAAGTTGACTCCGTTGCTATGGGGGCTCCGGGAATTATCTAGACACGGGTGTACATCCCCCTTGGCTCGGGGGTCATATCTAAATAATATGCCGAGTTCGGAATTCGAGTGATAACTTATGCTTATCGGTTTTGCACCTCTCCGCGAGGTTTGACCGGAAGGCTAAGATAACTTAATCTGAGTTGTCATAGCTATTCCCTCTCGTGCTAAGTGAAGTAGAAGTAGATTCTTTGGATCAAAGTTGAGAGATCGGTGATTTGAGCTCTGTGCACACTTGCGCAGTAGAGTTCGATCCTATTCATCCCATATCCCTTTGCATGAGCTTTACCGCTGGATAACCTTTGTGAGCAACACAAAGGCCGAGTCAAATCACGGAATTTGCTTTTTCTGAGAAACTGACCAACATTACTTATTTTGCCCTTTGCTACAACTTCGCATGGCGTGCTTCATTGTGTGGTCAGATGTACGTTACCTATGTAAAGGGTAGTTCGCAATAGCCTCGTCGTCTGACCAAACGAGTTCAAAATGACAGTGGTCAAGCTGAATGCTACAGCCCATTTCACAGATTTTACCGCTCCGGCGATGAGGTTTTCCAGATCGCCCAATGAGCGTGTTTGTGAGATGCTCACTCTCCTCCACATTTGAGTGTATGTGCCCCACAGAAAGTGCACTTGTAGCTTTTTGCCCTCAAGCAGAGTCATACGACTTGCATTTGTTCATGCAAGCCATTTGTGATAACGCCAAGCGGCTTTTGTCAGTTTCACAAATATCAGCACGGTCATATGCATAGCACCACCCAGGGGAGTTGGGGCACACAACATTTTGACTTAGGCTAAAGAACTGATCATGATTGGACGCTCAATACGACATTCTGAAATATCGATGGCAAGGCTCAAGGCACTCTGCGGCGGATGCCCCGACTCAATAATAGAGTTAGTCCGAGACATTAGCAACCTAGAGAATAGACTGCCTAGAAGCTCGATGTGGTTTCATTGAGGTCAATTAGTGTCCTAGCAACCCGGCGGTCGTGGATGTTTAATTGGTAGGCTTCAATTAAACACCGCTGCTGATCCGGATGACAGAAGGTGTTTAAGATGGCTGTGCTCTACTCTATTTCCTTTCGGTAGTGTGTAAGGCGGATTGCGGGGTATTTGAGGAAACACATTGAGATGGTTGTTCCTACCGGTGTGCTCCTATTGTGGGATAAGCCTCGTATAGCAGTGAGGAAACAAACGTGCTCATTCCTTGGAATGTGCTGCATGTATAGTACCCCTCCCATGAACAAATCGAGCGTCAGGCTCTTTGCTAATTGATGAATTAGGTCCAACGGACAAGACAGAGCACGTCAAGCGGATGAAAATTCAGAGAGAATTCAGAAAAAGAAACAAAAATGAAAAAAAAAAAAAAAAAGGAAACACCTGTGACTTCCCGATGTCGTAAATATTGCTGACTGGCGGGGCGCCACATCGGAACATGCCGCCACACACCTTTTCGAACATGGGCAGGTCTGTATAGGCCAAATCTTGTATGAAACAGTAGTTTTAGCAGTACGTACATCGACTCATATTCCAAAAAATGATTAGAGAAGTACCGCATATATAGTCGTTTAATTGTAGGTACATGCGCCTGCCATTATGTCCGGCCAGGGTTATGGTTTGGCAATAGCCAAACTTACGACAAAGCCTAAGTGTACTCGTTAAGCACGAAAAGAATCAGAAAATGCAAGTGACGGAGACAGGGATAATTTGTATGAGAGATCACTGCCACTCCATACAAATCATCCTTGCCCAGAACAGCTGCATTTTCTAGTTCTTTTCGTGGTAAATGAGTATGTATGCGCACTAGTAGATGTCAGATAAACTACCCAGAGGAGGCGTTCTGTCCATCCCCAGAGAATGTACGGTCCACAGGTGTTCTTCTTTTGTACACTAAACTGGTGGGAATTATGAATGCAGTTTGATTGTGCATCAAAATCAGTTCCTTAGGCTTCTTACAGCTAAGATCGTCCACCGGGGGGACCCAACCGGACGTCTATGGACGTGATCGGTTTATATCCGCGCAATAAACGGCGTGAGTAGTACTGCAAATTGTGAGGCTGCAGAACGGGGAAGGCTAGGTGAGTGCAGTCAAGTATATGTATCGTCATCTTTTACGTTGGTATTACCCGCATATAACGTCTGATCTTCTCTTCGTGTGCGTATCTGTTTCGGCTGGTAAGAGCATGGAACCTGGAGCAGTCGAGGGCCAGGACCCTTAGGTGGGGGTGAAGGGGGGTTTGGGGGGGGGGCATCAATGTTCCTGCATTGTAGATGACAGCACACGGTTTCGGAGCATCCTCCGGTGTAGTCAAGGTTCTGTACCTCAAGTGCCCAAGGATTGATGTACGATTCTCGAGCGTTCTAGGGAAGCACATACCCGATATTCCTGGAGGTGTCCTCACGCTAGAACACAAAACTGTCCACATTCGATACTGAGAGGTGTCTCCACAAACTGTACAGCTGTCCGGAATATCAAGTATTTACCTTGACGAGATAATACGTGTCTTGCCGCATGTATCGAATGACGCAAGGAGGTTCACGGGATTTCTTTCATATACTAGTATACTGTCAGCCGGTATCTTATAGCGGGTACCTTTGCAGAGATATGATTCAACTGTATATATCTGTTTCCTTATAACCGCTCAATATAATGTGTACCGCTCGTAGTAGAAACGGTGTCTTTTCTATTTCAATGGACGCCAGTAATCTACTTAGCTGGAGAATCTGCCGCGGTCATCGGCCTGATCGGGGAAGGCGAAAATATCGACGTAGTTATAACCTAGTCCATATAGGCTACAACACAGGCTTCAGTACGTAGATGTAGCACCCTGGAGAAGATTTCCAATGTTTCTGTACTCTACATCGGGGGATCCAAGCTGGTCGATCATTAGCTGCCGAAGGGTAAAAGGTGTTTGACCAATTGAACAAGCCCAGTTAAGCAGACTTCGCAGGCCTAGTTACTCCGCCGGGAAAGCTGGGCATGGCAAAAGAACCATTGGGGAGGGGCCTCATGCTCGGCTCAAGTCTGCTTTTTCAAGCAATTGCAAGCGTACGCGCATTATCCAAACACGAATTGCAAGCCCCAACAGCTGGCTGCCTTGAGACATATAGTGCTCGAATTGTTGTGCCTACGCACATATGTTTCCTCACGAGACAACCTGCCTAGCAGCAACCCCCCGGGGATCGATAACAGATGTATTCGAGAGCATATATGTATACAGAAATGGAAAGAGAAGGATAAGCAATGGATGGATGACTCCCCACAAAGCAAATACCCACCAAAAAAAGCGCGGAACGCAGCCCTTCTCATCATTCCGGGCTGTTGCCAGACCTGCGAGAGGTGGCCTAAAGTGCAGAAAAGGAAAATAGAGATAACTCATGCGGCAGGTGGGGTAAGGCGACAAAGCAGGGCGAGGTTGCTCTCTATATCCTTTGTCGCCGATGGGCTCTTTCTCGCAAATGTGGACCCTGTATCGTTGACTCACTCCACCCAGTGCACTCCCCTGCGCTGACCCCGCGAAAGATGGCGGCGAGATACGGCTAGCGATCCCGAGCCTTTATATCTCACGGCGGTACATTGTGGGACGCTCCTCCGCCATGGTATTGGGGGCCGTACGCAGCGTTGTTGGTGGTTATAGGCCAGTAGGCATGTCGATATCAATGTTCCCCACTCGATCGCGTAACTAGGCGTCCGTAAGCTGGCGGCAATGGCTAGCTAGGTTAAGTATGTGGAAGGTCCTTTGGCGGAACTACATGTAGCTAGACGCTTGCGCATACCCCCGGGACCGGGGACGGTAGTACTGTAGTACCTACTAGTATAGCGGACTGGGGGGAGAAGGGATGCATGCCGAAAGCTGAACATTACCTTCAGAGGGAGTAATTAGAGTTGATCAACACGAACAAGGCCCTCCGCCACAGAACAACCTAGATAACAGGTGCCCTTGGAGCCAGAATGGATTGGGTTTGTACTGCTGTGATTGGTTGGATAAAGGGGGTGTATATCATATTATAGCAGACCTGCATGGCCAGGATTCGGGAGAGGATACGACGAGAAGCACTAGGATTGTAAGGAACTGGCTGTTGCGTATGGTTTAATGCGCTTGATCGCTCTCTCTTCTGTTGAAAACTTGCAATGCACCGAAAAAGACGGTGGTCTCAGTAGCAGTTGAGAGTCGAAACATGTCCACCGAAAGTGGTACGGTAGTCCAGCTGAGTCAGTGATCAGCACGTTACTAATATCCATCCGGAGGAGGAGAGGAGAGTAGTTTCTTCTATGCGCGTGGTGTTACTCTCACTGTATAATCTCTTAACGCACACGGACACAGTTGACGAGAGTACCTAGAGTAGTGCCGTATCCCTTGCCCGGATTAATAGCATCTAAAAATAGACATCCCTGCTTTCTAGAACTGTCAAGCCATCTCGAGTCTACCTTTCCAGAATGCACAGGGCCTCGATCACACAACGAGCGCTCCGGATGTCCAGAGTACAACTCGGAAGTCTGTAGCACTTCTAGCTGTGTGTAGATCTGAGGTTAATTAGCGCTCAACAGATGTTTCGTGCATGATACTTGGATAGAAAGCAGGCATCAATCTATTCTAGCTCTACTCTAGCTGTGAACATAATTGCGGGCGCGATCTTACACGCAAAGTCCTCACACCCAAATCCCAATCCCCCCCATCTCTCCTTTAATTCCACCCCTAACCACCTCCATCCCTGCGCCAATCCCAAAACCTTCGGCTGTGCCGCACCCAGCAACGATATCTCACGATCGCGATCCACCCGCGCTTGTGTCACCCACAGCGCATCCCATCCCCATCCATACCAAAATACTTATTGCCTAACGTATGTACCAAACATTTTTTCCCGAGACATCTTGCGGGATTGTGTTGGTTGTTACGAACCGGCGAGACTTCATTGCATGCATGTTGCTGAGATACGGTACCTACATGGTTAGCACAGGGTTAGGGTTCCTCCCGCCTGCATGCACCATGCGTCCACGGAGATTTTGCGACGTCCGTGGAGGTGTATTTTTGGATCGCGTCGTCTCGGGAGAAACGAATCCCGGAACGTATGTATCGGTATTGGCTTTGACTTTTTTCGCTTTTTTTTTTTTTATAATTACAGCGATTCACAGGCATTTGGCGAATACACCCATTTGGCGAATTTGTATGTAGCAACCAGCCAGCAACCAGTCAAACTGCGAGTTTGACTAAGATATCCTGATTCTTATTGGCCGTGACCCCTGTTCGTCAAATGGGTGTATTCGCCAAATGCCTGTGAATCGCTGTAGTCAGAGTACCGCGGCGGCCGGCCGCGGGTGTATCAAGAACCGTATGTATGCATGTAGGTATGGATGTGTGTGTGTGTGCGCTCGGTGCTCTCGACAGAGAGCGAATATGTAATCACGAAAGATTAAAAACCAGGGCAAAACTCAGCTCTCCATGGATCAAGCCCACCGACCTCCTCGTATTTTTTTTGCTTCCCGTCGCGTCGCGCCTCGACGGACGGACGACCAGCAAACATTTGCGGTAGGGAGATGGAAAATTGGGTTTTGCAGTACATATGATCCACTTGGAGTAGACCTTATCGTTCCCATGCACGCCACAAACTCCTCACACCACACTACCCGCGGCTAGGCAACCAGCCAATCAGCACCGCGTGGTGAATCCCGCGTTGTGGCGGCCCAACCAGCGCGACGGAGGGGGTGCTGAAAAGTGCAGTTCCATTTTTGGAAGCATCTGTGCATGGGACTGTACTGACTGATTGGGTGGCTGCGGATGGCGGCGGTTTGAAGCTAGTTTTTCTGTGGCTGTCTGGGTCAGTGCTCGCGGGTGGTGAGTCGCCCCGAGGATCTGAGAGGGGAGAGAGGGGAGGGGGATTTAATAGATAACCCTGCTGGCAGCGCTGTTCTTGATTTTTTTTTTCGTGTTCTTGTTCCTGAGCTGACAGAGTACGTTCTTGGTACTTGCATGGGATATCACTCGGAGCGTTTAACCTTTAACCTTTAGACTTCTTCCACCGATCCTAGATATACGAACTGATACGACCCCACATACCACGACTGCCGGGATTCGGCGTGACAGGTAGAAGCTGCCCAGCATGTTTGGGTACGACCTCACCGTACGTTCCCCCCCCCCCCCCCCCCCAAAACCAAAGGACAGAAGAGGAGAATGAATGATATGGCACAATAGCTAACACCCCCCTCAGCCCGCAATAGTCTCGTCCATCATCGCCGCCGGCATCCTCATCAGTACCTCCCCCCCTCCCCCTCTCAGCACACCCCACTAACCCCCTCCAGTACAATGGACCCTCCCCCTCTTCCTCGGCATCGTCCTGGCCGGCCTAATCCAAAACGCCAGCACGGCCAACACCTGGTCCGTCATCACCACCCTGCTCCACAACTCCAATCTGCACACCCTCCTCTTCTCCGACAGCACCAGCACCACCCACATTGCGCGCCCCGTGCTGCTCCTCTCCTACCTTGCCATCCTCGCGCTCGGGCTCACCGCGCTCTCCGGCGTGCTCACCCCGCTCGGCATCCGCGAGGACATCAAGGGCCGCGACGTCCCCAGCCTGCGCTTCGAGCTCGCGCTCGACAACGGCTCGTTCTTCCTGGGCACCGCCGAGCGCCAGTTCTACGCGCTGACGCGCGTGTGCGGCTTCGGCGAGGAGGCGTGTCCCGGCCAGGAGGGCCAGACGGTCGAGGAGGACGAGGGCCGGTTCCAGGTCGCGCCGTGGAAGCCTGTGAGCACGGTGGTGGAGGAGAGCGCGGTGTGGGTGGAGACGGCGACGGGGACGAGCACGAGCGGGTGGTCGGGCACGGAGACGAGCACGGCGACGGCGACGAGTCGCACGTCGGAGTCGAGTGAGAGCTCCTCCGGTAGTACATCGGGGACGCGTACGGGGACGAGGAGCTCCGACACGGCGTCGGGGACGAATACCGGCACAGGCACCAACACCGGCACGGGTACGGGCAGTGAGACGTCGACGCCGACGCGGACGGGGACCGATACCGGCACTGCCACGACGCCGACCGGCACCGGCAACCGTCCCAACACGCCGACTGGCTCCGCAAGCCCGACCAACACGTCCCCGAAGCCGCCGACGGACACCGGGACCAGCCCACCAAAGGACACCGGCACCGGCACCGGCGCCGGGAGTGCCACGCCGCCCGCGGTGTCCGTCCCGTCTGCCACCCACGATGCCGGATCAGCCTCAGTCCCGCCGGCGGCCGCAACGAGCCCGAACACGCGCGCAGACGTCGTCCCCACGAGCGTCGACAACCCCGTGCAGCTCCCCGGCAGCGTCACCGCGCGCTCCGACACCGCCACCACCGGCGCCGCGCAGGTGCAGCAGCCCGCGGCTGCCTCTGCCGCCTCCGAGTCCGCGGCCTACCTCGCGCTGCACCGGCGCTCCGACCCCACCCCCGAGGCGAAACCGAAACCGACACCGGACCGCCGCCGCCTGAACCGGCGCGCAACCGCGAAAAAGTACCGCATCGGCTCGTCGGTGCCGGCGCCGCTGGCGGCGCTGTTCACGAAGGCGTCCTACTACGGCGCGAGCGTGGCCAGCGTCTTCGATATCCAGTTCCGCAACTACATCATCCTCAACCTGCCGCAGCACCAGCTGGCCAACGGGCTGCGGTACACCATTGGGCAGTTTCGGTTCCTCGAGACACTCATATTGAGTAGGGGCTACAAGCTGATTGATGGCCTGATCGTGGACACGAAGGATGGCGGTGTCGGGTTTCGGAAGCATGCGGTGCCGGATCGGGAGAAGAAGAAGTATGGTGCGAGCTGGGGGGAGACGCTGTTATGGATGGCGCCCGAGACGGTGTGTGTGGCGAATAATGTGAGCTTGCAGGTCACCACGGACGATGATGGCGGCGCGGCGAGCGTGCTTATTGATGCGGGGGGGTTCAGGGGGCTGGTGGGCGTGAGTGAGCCGGATGTGGTGGCGGACGTGGCGGGGGTGCCGGACCTGGCGGGGAGGGCGTGGAGGGGCGCGTACTATTTCAATAAGGATGTGGCGGGCGCGGTGGGTGCGAGTGGGGCGGCGGCGGAGAACACGACGTTTCAGATTGAGGGCGACAGTGTGTGGATTTCGAGGCTGCAGGAGGTGAGCGATAGCCTGGGGGACAGCCAGTTTGTGGTGCATCGAGTGCCGCTGGGGGCGAAGATTGTGGATGGGACGCAGAATGGGACGAGTATTGGTAGGTTTTCCCTTCCCCTAGTCCGATCATTGGCAGTCATTTATCCCCCTTCCTATCATTGACTGTCGTTTATATCCCCTCCCATCATTGCCAGATGATATATCATTTCTCCCCCCCCCCCCCAATCATTTCCCGTCCCCTTTTCTGTGTTTCCCAATCACTGACACCCCCCAGACACGCACTGCGCCGGCCTCACGCCCACCACGCCCTCCGGCGCCCCCCTCGTCACCTGCGGCCTGATCGTCGGCGCCCCCCGCCGCACCGACACCGAATCCTCCACCCTCGCCGGCACCTACCGCTACCCGCTGTACACCTGCGCCACGGCCATCCGCGCCTCGCTCCGCACCACAACCTTCACCTCCAACGGCACCACGCGCGACCTCGCCTCCCTGACCATCCACAACACCACGCTCCCCCCCTCCGCCCCCCTCTGGGGCGTCGAGGCCCACGCCAACCTCACCGCCGCACAGATCAGCCCCCTCTGGGGGCCCCTGCACCCCGACGACGAGCACGCCGCCGGCATCACCGCGCGCCGCGCCCTCCACCTGTACCTGCCTGCGGGCCAGGGCGGCGGCAGCATCACCGACTCGCTCGGGGGAACAGGCGCATACCAGTATGCGGCGGGGCTGGTGTACGAGACCAGCGCGCTGACGCCGGACTACAGCGGCAAGACGAACTATGCGCTGTATCGGCAGTGGGAGCGTGTTACGGCGGACGCGGGGAGCGTGGCGGAGCTGCCGGGGCTGGTGTGGACGGATGTGTTTGCGAACCTTGTGACGAGCGTGGCGGCGGGGGGCAAGGGCGTGGGCGTGGTGACGGTGTATGATCGGGTGCTGTGGTATGATGTGCGGTATGCGGTGCCCGTGGGGGTGCTGGTGGCGATGTGGTGCGGCATGTGGGGCGTGGCGATGGCGTTCTGGGTCGGGAGACGGGTGAGGGTGAAGGAGTTGCGGCAGCTGCTGAATCAGGTGAGTACCGGGCGGGTGGTGGTGAATATGTTGGAGGGGAGCAAGGAGGGGGCGCTGCCGGCGAGCAGGTGGGCGAAGGGGAGGGGGAGGACGGTGGTGGGGTTGGAGTGTCGCGGGGCGGAGGGCGTGGAGGGGTGGGAGAGGGAGGGGGATGAGATGGTGGGGGGGTTGGTGGTGGGGTTCGTGGAGGCGCCGGTGGAGGGGAGGGTGTTGGAGTTGCTGAAGAGGGAGAGATTATAGCGGGTATACTGAATAGCTAGGGGTCGTGAGCGCGGACGCGGGTAATGTTCTTTTTTTTGTTTTGCATCGGGGGCGTGCATATAGATTGGATTGGCTTGTTATTCTTATGAGGTTTTTGCATTGGTTTTAAAGAGCGTCTGGATAAAGTCGTTATGTTCCTTTTTCTGTATTTGTTGAAAGCGTGTTTGAATAAAGTCATTTCCGTCTTATTGGTCGTAACAGCATCACATATAATCTATGGCTTCTTCTTCTACTTTCTTCTACTCCCCAACCCACCGCATGCAAAATGCCCCCGGCCCTTAATTCACCGAAAACCGAACCTCCCCACTTCTCCGATAGTGATGCACACAACACAAAACAAGACGAGACTTCCCTTGATCCTGTCTCATCCTACATCTGAGTAGAGATCGAGAGAGGGTCTTGTGGCTAAAGAGATGAAGGGTAGGTGTCGCGCAAAGTCTTGAGACCACATGCTGGGTTTCAACTACACACCAAAACTAGGGTTAGGGTTTGTATGAATTCTGCGATTTATCCCTTCCTCTGTTTTCAAGCGCAGTGGCGTGGAGCAGTTAGGCATATTGTTTTCTTGCGAATTCACAGAAAGTCATGCTCGTCACCCCTCCATCAATATATCCTTTCTACTTTGGAGCAGATTCTTACTATTTTCACAGTGCTACCTAAGGACGATTTATTAAAAGTCTAAAAGTCTAGCTAGCTTTCTCAATAGGTATAATCAGGCTATGACACCGTGCCTGGTTTAATTTGGCAATTCGATGATGTAGCTTGAGATGTGTCCGAAAGACCGAGGTAAGGACACGCTGTTTCTCCTACATCGCTCAGGGTTAGGGTTGGTCTGAGCAGTTAAGCTATATCGGTAAATGCATCAATCACACAACCATCTTTAGTATATGAAGTATCTGTATATTAGGAAAGATCGTTTGTAGAGTTACCTCTAGCATCCCTGGCCCCTGTAAAGGTGTTATAGGCAGGCTTCGAAATTAACAGGCGTACCCGGGCCCGAAAAGGTCTCCAACCCGACCCAACCTGCCGCGAAGACCCGACCTAAGGACATTTACCTTAACTTTTCAATTTCAGGTGGGTCCGATTCAGCCTCCAATTGCAATACTCATGATAGAAGTGACATTTTGACACTAATGAATTAACTAAAAAAAGAAAAAAAAGAAAAGCCCATTTGACACTATTTGAGGCACAGGCTATCACTCGACCTTCGGGTATGGCCCAAATCTTGTGTAAGCCTATTTTTATTGGCTACATGGTATCACTCGGCCAATGGGCTTTATCCGGATTAAATACTTTCCTTAACCCGGCGGCCTAGAGAAATATCAAAGATGGAGGACCCGAGACCTATGGAGGAATCGGGCTAACTTAAATTACGGTAGACCCATTGGGAAGCCTGGTTGTAGGTAGAGATTTAGGCAAATTTGTTCGCAGCAAGTCGTCCCGCGCGACGCTGAGGATGAAAAATAGAGTGATAGGGCCTAAAACCTGTGTAATCGAATGACGTATTTGATACCCTCACCCCTAGGCTGGTCGTTCCATTTCCGTTCCCATCCACTGTGTGACCGTCCGCTGAAGCGAAATGATGCGATAGTTGTACTAGCTTTTAACACTTTGAGGTAGTAATTTGTAGTCTAAAAATCGTCAGCCAGGTGCGCGGCCATCGCCAAGGGAGCTAGTAAATGATTCTGAGAGCAAGACTAATTTCAATTTGATAAAAGTAATCTTTGAGACTTCGACAGCTATCGAAGAGAGATCCTCCGCCAGCATCAACCCACGCACAAGCAATCGATCCGGGATTATCGCCCATTGATCAATGCGCCAACCCATCATGATCGTCGACAGCCGGAGATGTACGAGAGTCAGGCTAGTGTTTGTGTGACCGGTCTAAGAGATACCCTCGCTGTCTATCGAAGGGATTTGAGAGCGAGTACTCAGGCTGGAATGGCCAGAAGGGGAGGTGGCAGGGAGGGTGTTATGTATCGTTGGGCGGAGGTTCGATCGGCTGTTTTAGTAGCGAGGCTACGACGTTGTGAGTTTGTACGCTTTACGCGCGATAGAGGCGGGGTCGATGAGGAACGGAATTGTGGGAGGAAATGTGCTTGTAATTCCCCACTCCTTCTTTTTCACGCTCTCCTGGCACATTCTCTTGGCGAGATTGGCTTTGGTCACATCCCGTCTTGTAACATTCGAAACCCAGGCCAGCCTTTCCTACGTCTCTACGCGGAGTGGAAATGTATTAATTAGCATAGACCTTACCCACAGAACGTTTTGGAAAAAGGCACATGTAAATGTGCTTACCGCGGTACGCCTGCTGGGAATTTATCATTGTACCCTTTTGCTTGCCTTTTCCTATGCCTTTCCCCATTGTCAATCCCCGGCTCCCATATACATATTTGATTATTTTCACGCACCTAGGTCTATGTACGTATGCGTGTGATCATTGAACGAGAACTGTATTTATTTCCTTACCAGCCAAAGCTGGTTCTGCACTCACCTACATTTAGCCTTCGATAATTTCCTTCAATTGCCCGCCAAATTTGGTTCTGCACTTACCTGAATTTAAGCCTTCAATGATTCATTTCCCACCCGAAATCTAGTTTTAACTTTCAATGCATTCACTGATGCATTTCTCGTAGTAGGTAGAGCCGGTCCTGAGAATGGAGTGAGAAGTCATGTGCCAAGCGTTTGCCACGCTACGAAAATCGAGTGAGAGTTCATGTTCCAACGCTTTGCCAAATACTATGGTCTTTTTTTTTTTTTTTATTTAATTCATTAATTGGATAAGTACTACGATAAAAAACAAGACGAGACTTCCTCTGATCTCCTCTCGTCTGACATCTGCGAATAGGGGGTCTTGTGGTTAGAGAGACCTAGGGTAGGTATTGCGCAAAGTCTCGAGACCAGAGATCGCGAGCTTCGACTCCTCATCAAATTTAGGGCTATAGTTATAGAATTTCTTGAATTAAGATACGTATCGATGTATTAGCCCCGCCGCCTCGAAAATACTCCGTTTTAAATACTTTACCATGTTTCGGGACATCTCGAGACTAATTCTTTTGCCCGCCTCTAGGTTCCGTCTTCTCTCGTATCGTCTAAGAAAACAAAGTCTCGAGACTTTTTCTCGTGCGCATTACTACACTGACATTGACAGCGCTGGGACCTTAGGGCTGTAGAGGTCTTAGGACCTGAGAAATATGGTCTCGAGCTACTCGAGGAGAGAACTCTCAAAGACTACCCGCCTCATGGAGAACGTTCCGGAAGTCTTGCGGCGTGACAGAGTTATTTCTGGCCCATCATTGCTTGACGATTGTGGTGGGCAAGCGTTTGCTCATAGGCTCGAGCTAACTTGGGCTGTGGATGTTGACTTGTATTGATGATAGATACACAGTTGTACTCAATGATGATGATGAAAGGAAGGAGAAGGAGAAGTGGAAGGAGAGCGAGCTGACAGATAAAGAAGAATACAGGACATGTGCCCCTTTTGCTCCACCACGACTCGGGCCCGTGTCTGGTCGAAGCCCTTTCCTCCTGTTCAACATCCAGTATGACACTACGATAATGGTGGAGATCAGAAATGCTCAAAGTATTCGATCCATGAACCTGAGCTTGGGTCTAGGTTTGAGTGTTCATATTACATTGACCTAATAGATAGGCCAAAAAGCTTAAGTGATCTTCGTGTTAAATTAAATGATTATTCCCGGAGCTGTGTTTTGGTGTATATTTTCTCATTCTATTGCTCTTTGATAACTACAAAGCTTCAGTCCGCAAATGTCTTCCATCAGTTTATTTTGAAGAGTTCCGATTCGAATTCGATTTGGCTATCGGGTGGTGTGTTTTGCGTGCGAAAGCACCTAAATTAGAGGATAGACTGAGCTATGTTTCAGCTAGCCTTGCTGGAGTTCGATCCAATTACACCGTAGCCATTCTGTCCCACCATGGGGTAGGAATTGCTTTCGATCAGCTGATGGTGAAGGCTCCAGCGTCGGGTGGAGGTTTTTTAATCGGGTGAATCATGCTATATCACTCGCTTCATGTAAGAAGATGTCTATGTTGATTTCGTGGTTTCTAGGCCTTAGAGATTGTTCCTCTGGTTGTCGATTCGGTAGACGATAATTAAAACTTACTTCCCCCAATTTCCAAGTAGGATCGACTAGGGTTATGGTTATGTGGATGATTCCTCTTCATATTGCGGTCATAGTCAATCACTCGTATATTTCTTGTTGAAATCAATAACTGATATATACATATTTCAGCTGACCTCCTTGGGCCTTGATCCAATTGATTACTAGTTCTAATCTTTCTTTCGAACAACGAACAGGACTCGCTAATGTTCTTCTGTAATTGGGGGATCATTCATGACAGATCACTCTTTTCATGTGAAAAATGTCAATGGTGATTTGGCTTCCAGATCACCTGAGAACCTACTCCTATGATTATGGATTTGTATATGAACAGGGTTTTGCACTACGGAGGCGTTCACTGGTCTGATTGTATCCGCTATGGAAGTACAAGATATTAAGTGTATTCCGTACCCATCCGAAATTCACGATTGCAATGGCATTTTGATGGAACGATATCATGATTTCTATTGAACCCGACCTTCCAAGTACAGAGAGATAATAAAACTTCATGAGAGAAACAAAGGTTATTTCCACAAGCCATTCTAATCTATCTCTTAAATCTGACGTAAATCATAAAAATCAAATCTTATTTCCGCAAGCCATCTTAATCTCTCATAAAATCCGCCATTCCACAATTAACCGTAATATCTCAGATAATCCACCTATTCTCATGACCTTTAGTCTATCATCCAACTGTCCTGTATAGTAGTTAGTATGGCAAAATTCGGGGTTTGGATAGTGACTTGGGCGCCTACCTACCAAAGACTAGAAGGTGATATTACAGAGAAGAGTGGCAAAGCTGAACGCATGACTGAAGAGTATCTTGGCTGCTGATTAAGAGAGATTTTCGTACTCTATCCGGGGATTTTTGGTGCGAATACGGCAAGAAGAAAAGCCAAGAAGATGACCCAGCGTGTGAGATAGTGGGGACGAGCTTTTTCGATTTGTTCGCGACGACTAGATAGCAAGGAAAGTTAGCATCATTTCGTAGTCATATATCGGAATCCTTGAGGTACTTACTATCCATCAATCCAAACCCCCATCGCGACTGGATAAACCAGGCCAACCTCAGCATCCCTCAATCTGCTCTGAGCACCAATGCTCGAATTAACAATCCAGCTGACTAGCTGAACATCCGGGTTGCCGCTTTCAACGATCCCGTTAATCATTGTTCTGCAGAATGGGCAAGGCATCTCCATAGGCCAGTGCTCCCGGTCAAGCAGGATGGACCACCAGCACTGTTTAGTGCAGCTCTGGCACATTTTGTGTGAGCAGGTGGGGAACGACACGGTGGATTTACGACGGGAGCAGATGTTGCATGTACTGTCATCGTCGCGGTCGTCATCAGAATCGTCGGAATCGGAGCCACCTTCGCAGTATGGAGGCTCCTCGGGGATTGTATCGACTTGCCACTCGTCTTCATCGTTGTCTTCTTGGGTGGTAATGACTTCGTGAACGGGAGCATTTAGACGGGCGAATAAGAGATCGATCTGAATCATGTCGCTCTGACCAATTCTGAGGGGAGTGGTCATACCGCTGGGTGGTGGAGCACGTGGAAGAGTGAGGTTATTGTCTTCGAAGTTGTAGTGGTTTCCCGTGAGCACTTGGTTGTCTTGTTGGGTGGTAATGACTTCGGGAACTGGAAAGTTCATCTGAGGGAATAGGAGATCGATCTGAACCATGTTGTTCTGACCAGTCCTGATGGGAGTGGTCGTGCCGCTGGATGATGCGGTAGGGGGAGCGGTGAGAATATTCTCCTGAGCATTGTAGTAGACTTCTACGTGGCCTTCGGTATTAAGGTTGTTTGTTTCTTGGGGAAGGTTTGCATTGCCTGCAGGTGAAGTGATTTGATTTTCAGACATCTTTCTTATGCAAGTGATTATCAGAGGTGTTTGAGGATATAGAGGTAGAGTTTATCTGTGTGAGGGATGATTTTGTGAAACGGTGTTTTGTGGCTGGTATTTCACAGGGTTAGAAGGAAAAGAATAAAATTGTGGCTCAGTGGCCTATAAAAAGGGTGAATGGTGGTAGGGAGAATACGTATCGCACTTGTTGCAGAACGCGCCCTGGATTCCAGTATGCAGAAGTGGGGGTGCTCATTGAGAAATTGGGCGAAAATCGCCCTCCGAGGTAATCACCACTTCTCAAGCACGCTGCCCGCCAATTGACTTTGACTAATATTCGCTCGAATCACCAAGCAGTTCAGCTTGTATCTCTTACTAGGGCGGATTCTTACCAGGTATAGGTTTCTTGGTAGAGTTACGGCTTCGGTGGGGCGGGGGTTCGCTCGTGGAGCTATTCGTAAGAGTTGTGCACGTACGTTGCACTGCAGTAATGGGCCGAAGAGGTTAGATATGGCAATCAAATACGCGAGTAAGATGGAAGCTAGTGATATTTTGTTACAACAATCGCTACGCCGGCTTAAGTCTAATATTTTAACTAAAAACTGAGATTTCTTCTCTCATCCGCTCGATTATTCATATAGAAAAACGCTCTCATTTACCGCACCATTGAAAATATGGCCTTACTTATCCAGTTCCCGCCTCCTCAGTGTTAAGTATCTCCATTGTTGTATTCACCCTTGCTAGGAGTGAGGAGTGCAGAAAGGTACAATTCTTGTCTAGTGTCAATGATTGACTTGCAACAACCCCACTCTCTTTCTCGTGGGGATTCTGTACTCCTTTTCAAGGATCGCAACTCACATCAGGCTTCTTACTCACACACTAGACGTATAGGGAAATCTCGATTGGATCGTTGCCGAAGGTCTCTTAAGTTGACCGTGGGGGTCGGGGCTTTCGATGGTCCAATCTCTTGTAGGTGGACACTTTAGCGAGTGATAATCCATGATGCACATCCGTTACCATCCCTGGCCCTGTTCAAATGCGGATGAGTCAGATCAATACCCGACTTATTGAATATGCGTATCTGACTACTTGGAGCTAATCTTCGAGCTGGTACCATCCGCCTTACTTGGGCCTGGGGGATGCCATGCTTTGCAAGTTCCTTGAACATGACACCTGTTTACTTTTACAACCTGTAGCTCACGATAGTACTTGATACAGGTCCGTTACATGATGGGGGGAAAATGATTAAATTATACGAGAGCCATCGTAATCCCAAAAACCTTCCTTCAAGTCGATTTATCAATGAGATCCCAAAAGCCCTCCACTGATCATCTGTCGACAAGCATTGACTTGACAAACTACACCACATCAGCTGGAGATTATCTTCAAGCGTGTATATTCCCTCCGATTATGGATGGTATTCACTAACTGTGTATAGCTGTAACAATACATGGGCCATAGAGTCGGACTACTCTGATCGATCCGCTCCACGAAGCATTACTGCTCGAGGCCCTAGATTGGCGCAGCTCAAGTTGTGGGTGTGCTCGAGACGAGCATGCTCGATCGATGGATGCAGGTTCTCCTTTTAGCTCTTAACAGCCCGAAGCTTGTCTAATCTATATAGTACTACAATACAGTGTTTCTCAAAAATAAGAAGCTAAGCCGTTTTCAGAATTGGACAGGGGTTGGTGACAGGGGTGCAGAGGTGCGGTAACAATAGTATTTTTATGGGATGGGAACAGGTTGGGGAGGTAGGGTAACCAAAGAAAAAAAAACCCGGTTTTCAAGGGATGGGTAACTACACCTTCTTGACCATAAATTTCATTCCCCACCATCTTTCAATTCAATTATCTTAACAAAAAGCATCCATACCTCACAATCATGTCTACTGCCAGATGCTCCCAATGCAAGCATGATAAAGCCATTGCGGAATATGATAGAAACCGCCGCGGTTCTCTTTTGAGATCATGTAGAGATTGTTTGGTATGTATCTCTGCAACAACCAATAGAAACATTATTTGACAATTGGCAGAGAAGACAAGCGGAGATGAGACAAAGACGTGCTTCTTTGCGAGCCGGGCAAACAGTAGAAACATTGGAGGTATGTACTATAATACTTAAGAATTGCATCTTATAAATGCTTACAACTTCTGTTGATAGCTATCCCCACCCAGAGCTGTAAGACAAGGAATACGTTCTGCCTTTCCTTGCGCATTTCTCAGTTCCCGTTTACAATGGAAAGAATTGAATATGGGCTCAATGACGATCGTTTGCGAGTCCTGTTCAGCTTTGCATTGTATTGATGAGCGAATTGCAGCAAGTTCAAAGATAAAGCCACGCTTTGAAATCTGTTGTAAAAAGGGAGATGTTCAGCTGTTACCTTTGCAAGCACCACCTCCGTATTTACAATATCTTTTGCAGTCTACTGATCCGGTTGCAAGAAGATTTCGGACCAGTATTCGTGAATACAATTCTGCACTCACGTTTACATCGGTAAAATATACTGCTGATCAACGGGCTCCAGCGCAAAGTGGTGGTTTGCAATGTTTTCAAATCCATGGAGAGCTTTACCATATGCAAGGACCATTGCATCCACAACAGAACGCCTCACCAAGCTTTGCACAGCTATATTTTTACGACCCTGAGTATGCAGCTGGTGTACGACATGAGGCACATCCCAACCTTGATCTTACCATATTGCAGAGACTTACAATCGAGTTACATGATGTCAACCCTTTTATAGCAATCTATAAAACAGCCCGGGAGCGACTAATGGATGCAGAACGTTTGCAAGGTCCTGCAAGAATATTGTTAAGTCCGCAGCTGCAATTGATAATGGAATCAGGTGCTGACAAGCGTCGCCACAACCTGCCAACCAGCAATGAGATTGTGGTTATCATACCTGATGAGTATGGACAGGCAGGATTTCGAGATATTGTACTTGCAAACCGTGATATGGATGGCGATGAATCGTTCAACATAATTAATCCTAATAATGCTGCTTATATGCCCTTGCACTATGTATTGCTATTTCCGAATGGTGATGTTGGTTGGCATTGGGGTTTGAGTTTGCGAAATGATTTACAAGCTCGCAAAAATTTACGTCTCAGTCAACGACCATTTTATAGGTATGGAATTCATTGCAAACAGTATGCACTGGCAGAATCAAAGCAATTGACCCAGATAACAGATATCGTTTGCATACCCGCCAATCAGAGTTTTCAACTCTATTTTATTCTCAACGCTTATTTCAACAATATTTGGTTGATGCATGGTCTGTTTGCGATCAAAACAAGCTTAATTGGATACGTCTCAACCAATCACAATTGCGTGCAGACCTTTACAATGGACTTGCAGACGCGATGTTACAACAAGACTTCAATGCAGAGGAGACAGGACGTCGTGTAATACTACCCAGCAGCTACACAGGTGGAGACCGGTATATGCAACAATTGTATCAAGATTCTATGGCTATAGTTCGACATTTTGGACGTCCAACCCTCTTTATCACATTTACAACCAATCCAAAGTGGCCAGAGATCGTTGCAGAGTTGCTTCCGGGGCAAACAGCTGTTGACAGGCCTGATCTTACAGCAAGAGTCTTTCATATGAAACAACAGCAACTGCTTGCTGAAATAAAGCATAAAAATATCTTTGGCCGCTATATTGGATGTGTATGGACCATTGAGTATCAGAAACGTGGATTACCGCATATGCATCTCTTGCTATTCTTTCATCCGGATGATCGATTTCTTACAGCAGAACGCATTGATGAAATAGTGTGTGCTGAATTGCCGGATCCCATTGTAGACCCTAACGGAGAATTGCGAGCAATTATTACAAGCTGCATGGTACATGGTCCCTGTGGCGAACGGATGCCAAATGCTCCATGCATGTCAATATCGGAATCAGATTTCCGAAGATGCGCAAAACGCTTTCCTAAAGAATATCAACAAGAGACGGTATTGCAAGAAGATGGATATCCTCTTTACCGCCGCCGCAACGATGGAAGAACTCATACAATACCTTTGCGAGGCTCCGGTGGAAATGAAACTTTTTCATTTGATAATCGCTGGGTTGTACCTTACAATCCATATCTCTCCTGGCGATACAAAGTGCATATCAATGTTGAAGTTTGTGCATCCATTCATGCAATCAAATATATACACAAATACATCTACAAAGGACCTGATCGCACTACTTTGCAGGTTGGCAATGAACTTGATGAAGTAAAGCGATATTTGCAAGGTCGTTACATTGGGCCAACAGAGGCTGTATGGAGGATTTTTGAATTTGCAATGCATGAGGAATCTCCGGCTGTCATGCACCTGGCTGTACACTTGCCCGGTGAACAGGCAGTTTATTACGGAATAGATGCAAATCGAGAAGATATCTTGCAAAGAATGGAAAGTGCAAAGTCAACACTTATGGCATTCTTCCAATACAATGCAGAGAATGTCGATGGTCACCCATACCTATATCAAGAATTTCCGACTCATTTTACTTACAATAAACCTACTCGCAAATGGTCACGGAGAAAAGCAGGTGTTTCAATTGGACGCATGTATCATTGCAACCCTATGATGGGTGAGAAGTACTATTTAAGACTCTTGCTCACAGTTGTCCGTGGTGCAAAATCATTTGATGATTTGCGAACTGTTGTGGGAGCGTTGCAACGTACATTCAAAGCGGCATGTCTTGCTCTGGGACTACTGGAGGATGATCGCGAATGGGTGCAGTGTTTTACAGAGGCTGTTCTATTTGCATCTGGAGCTGCACTGCGTACATTATTTGCAACAGCCCTTCTTTTTGGGGATTTAACTGATCCAAAAGCTCTTTGGGCCGAATTTGGGAACAATATTTGCGACGATATACCTCACACTCTTCAAACAAACGAGGCCCTTGCTGCTCCAGCTGACTTGCAAGACCCTCATCTTGATTATGGTCTTTATTTGATATCGCAGATACTTGCAGATTCAAACAAAACTCTTGCAGACTTCGATTTGCCTCCATATATCCACAATTGGCATCGTACTGCTGGAAATGAAATGATTGCGGCAGAATTGCGGTATAATCAACAAACAGAACTGGAGCTGCGTAATGAGAGGATTGCAAAGCTTAACGACGAACAATTGCAATGCTATAATACGATTGTAAGAAGTGTTGATAATCCCGCAACAGCACAGTTCTTCTTGCAAGGCCCGGCTGGAACGGGAAAAACATTTCTTTATAATACTATCTGCAACCATTTCCGGTCTGAAGGCAAGATTGTTCTTTGTGTTGCATCTTCCGGCATTGCAGCACAGCTACTACCTGGTGGCAGAACATCGCATTCAAGGTTCAAGATACCCATTGTTATTAATGAATCATCAACTTGCACTATTTCTCGCAATACCTCCCTGGCCGGTCTCATACAGCAAGCAAGTCTTATCATCTGGGACGAGGTACCAATGCAACATAAATATTGTTTTGAGGCTGTAAATAGGTCTCTCAATGATATTTGTGGTTCTGGGGAAGATGCATTATTTGGCAATATACCAATCGTGTTGGGCGGAGACTTTGCCCAGATTCTGCCAATTGTAAGACGGGGTAATCGCGGTGCAACAGTTGCGGCATGTTTGCAAAGATCATTTCTATGGCAGCGTTTTCAGCAACTTTTGTTGAAAACAAATATGCGAGTTAGGGAAGGAGAAGCAAATAAGGAATTTGCCAATTGGCTCTTACAATTATCTTACAATCCACAATGGAACGGTCGAATACGTTTGCCGGAATTCATATCTATTTGCACAACAGTTGAAGATCTCTGTGAGCATGTATTCCCTGCAGAAATAGTTGCATCAGCTCACACCAATTACACGGCATTTAAGGGGCGTGCAATACTTGCAATGCGAAATGATTTAGTTGCGGAGTTCAATGATATTGTTCTCAATACACTTAACGGTGAAACTAAGACATATTATTCCATTGATAGTGCAGACTTCAACAACTCAGAAGAAGCATCAAACGAACTCCCTGCAGAGTATTTGCAAAACCTGAATCCAGCTGCATTACCACCTTCCCATTTGCGATTGAAGATCGGCGCTCCGGTAATACTTTTGCGCAATCTATATCCAAAGCAAGGGCTTTGCAATGGAACAAGAATGACAGTAATTCGTATGGAAAGACGTTGCATTGAGGTGCGAATATTGGGAGGCGATAATGATGGGCAAGTAAAGATTATTCCTCGCATCAAACTTTCTACAACTGAAGGGGAGTTGCCCTTTATCTTAACTCGAAAACAATTTCCTGTAAGATTGTGTTTTGCAATGACAGTAAATAAGACACAGGGGCAATCACTTGACATTGTAGGGATTGATTTGCGGACTTCATCTTTTATGCATGGACAATTGTATGTCGCATTGTCAAGGGCAACAGATGTAAATAAGTTACGAATCTTGCAAACGGAGGAGAGAGGGAGGGAAACCGAGAATATAGTGTATCCGGAGTTACTGTTGAGGGAATGACAGTTGTACATTACAGAAGGCCCTTTACTGTTTCATATACTTTAATTACAGTGGGTTACGGTATACTTTGCACTGTTGCAGGAACAAATCAAAGCTTGCAATTATATACGGCTCATTACATGAACTTGCAATAAAGAAATATCAATTGTAAACAGCTGCAAGATGGTTGCGAGAGTTGCAAACACAGACTTTATTTTGTTAAAGCTATTGGAAATATTTCTAACTACTTTAGAGTCTGATTACGTTTAGTCTTCCATGTCTTCCATGATATCCTCAATTGCATCAGCCACTCCCTCTACTGCCATCAAAAGCCTCTGCCATTTTTCCTTTGTAGTGGACCGCTTTCTCTTTGCAACTCTTATATGCCTGCCTGCAGCCTCCGCAGTACCGGTAGAAGAGCTTGCAATGGGTGCAGAACGTTCGCGAGGTTTGATTTCTGTTGTATATATTTGTAAATCACCGTAAACTATTTGTAAGACATTGTAAGAATTGTAGATTACTTACCAGGACGGAAATTGCAATATTTGCCTTGGCTATTGTAGTGGCAATTGGTGCAACTACCTGCAAACATGCCTTCCACAGTTACACATTCAACAAAAGGGCCCTTACCGTCAGTACAACACTCACAAACTGCCTCTGCAAGTTCACCGCTGCTATATCCCAAAATAGCCTCAACATTAACTGGCGTAGCCATATTGAGACCCCTGTCTTCCTTAACCAAAACAGTCCTAATCCAATCCATACTAGCCAATTTCTTAGCAGTAGCAGTATTGGTTACACCACCCATTACTAATGCTTCAGCAGCTGTCTCATGATACTGAATTGGGCGAGTCTTGGCGGAATCGGAAGGGCTTGGCAGCAGGGGTGCCGGAATCGGAAGGCTTGGCAGCCGGCTCGGCGGAATCGGAAGGCTTGGCAGCAGGGGTGCCGGAATCGGAAAGCTTGGCAGCCGGCTCGGCGGTATCGGAAAGCTTGGCAGCCGGCTCGACGGAATCGGTTGGCTTGGCAGCAGGGGTGCCGGAATCAGAAGGGTTGGCAGCCGGCTCGGGGGAAAGCTCGGCGGTTTTAGATCTCTCAGCGGTCTTGGAAACCTTGGCAGCCTGGGTGCGCTTGGCGGGAGGCTTGGCGGAAGCGACAGGGGTGTCTGAATCGGCAGGCTTGGCGGTCTCGGAAGACTTGGCGGAAAGTTCAGCGGTTTTAGAACTCTCGGCGATTTCGGCAGGCTTGGCAGCCCGGGTGCGCTTGGCGCGAGGCTTGGCAGGAAGCTTGCCGGTTTTGGTGGTCTTAGCAGACATGATGGGGGTAGCAGTAGTAGACATTATTCGTTGATGATGGATGAACTGGATAAGGGGAATTTACTGGCTCTATTTATACATAATTGGAGCAGCAGTAACCCGCCCAACCCCAACTTGAAGTTGCAGCAGTAACCCGCCCAGGTTTCCAGAACCTTCCTTCGCGGTCGCGAAGTGGCCACTGCTAGTTATACTGGTACATCTATATAGTGTATAAATATTCCTGAAAGAACATTTCATCACATGTTTCTGCTAACATAACATCTGAGCTGCTCGTAATTCTCTGGCCAATATTCATCCTTGGTATTCTGTGTGGATAGTCCATACTTGCCTCGACTACCCCGAGATATGACCTCACTATGTTCAAACAAGAGAACATGTTTCCATCATCAGACAGAGACGACGCGAGGTTTCTACCTCCGTTTACGGCGAGTGACCTCTCGTGCCATAGTACAGGAGAGAACACCCACCGACATGTCATATATGGGAGTGGGGGTCAACCATGAGAAGAGAAAGAGAGAGGAGGGGAAGCGAGCTGACAGTAAGACAGATGAGGAGGAGGAACGAAAGCTAGATGGCTCTTCAATTACCGCGGTCTTATTACCTCGACCTGCTCACTCACATCATCCGAGCAGATGGGAGTGCCCAAGCATTTGTTCTTCGATGACAATAGCATCACGTATAAAAGAATTTATTGGCATGCCATGGGGCGCAAGCATCTGGAAAATTACCTCGCTTACCAAAATTCTCCTCACCTAGCTGGCAGGACGAACATCAGAAATCAACTGGAGGAACTGGGACAGTGACACGAGAAGTAGAATCGAATCGAAAGTGGGGGCCATCAGGGGGCACAAGGAGCTATTGATTGTGTGATACTTTCAGGCTCGAGGGAGTACTCGATATGAGAAAAATAAAACACCGGATCAGGAGAGAGGCAACCAAAGGTGTGTTAGAATAGTTACATAGTTACATTCTTTTTATTATTTCTATTTTTTTCTTTATTTTATGGAAGTATGAGAAGGAAATTGTCAAATATGATCGCAGCCTTTGGGATGCGTACAGTGAACGATGTGACAAACAAAGAAGAAACATCATGAGTCACATTCACATCGAGTGATATCTCATGAGTTAAATTCATATCGAATGATATTCTATGATTGACCTGATCGCTTTCATCTTGGCTACACAAAGGTTATCAGGCTAAATACTTGTTGCAATGCCCCGCATATCCAGTACCCGCGGTCTTAAGTAAAACCAGACTATCGAGACGCTCGTAGGCATCCATGCGCGGTAGCGGGTACCCTAGACCGTTCGGGGGGGGGGGGGGGGGGGCGGTCATGGTCCTGACTCCTTGATTAGCGACAACCTTAACGCCCCCCCCTTCTGCTTATTCTACTTATCGATTACTGGGCTCAACCGTTCTTATTCTAAGAGGATGATATATTACTTCCATTGTCTTCTGTCACCAGATGTGCGCTGTCCACGAACCGGCGTGAGGTTATGCTATTAATGTTCTTCGGGGTTGGTCAATCTATGCTGAGTCTCTCGTTCCAGCGGAGTAGAACTATAGATCAAGTGGAATGGAAGGCGATGTTATTGATTACAATGGAAAAGCGCGATAGGATGAGAAGAAGGTTATCTATACTGCTGTTAAAAGACCGCTCCATCAGTATGCGCGGCGAGATCGAGACTTGTAAGATCCAACGCAAGTAGCAATGGACATGACATATAATAACGGGAGACTTTGTCTTAGGGGTTTGTCTTGGGGGTTCCTCTAGAGACTCAATCTCGAGGCGAGGCAATACCCTAGAGTACAGTTTTGGAGAGATAGATTATCCGCAATCGGAGGTGACGAGCAGACCCAGTAATGGGTGAACCCGGGTTAGATTGAAGCCTCACCCAACCTAACCCACATTATGAGTAGGCTTACCCATACCCAACCCAACCCGACCTGCCATATCCGGCTTACCCACTGTGAGTAAATTGGTACAAATCCCCCAGTAATGAATGGAGAGGGCTTTTTGTGTAGTGGGTTAGGTTATGATACCTCTCTTTGACGAAAATCTTTATTTTTCCCTTTTGTATGTGATCATGGCTTATCACTCAAACCATGGGTTACCTACTTGTAGGTAAAGATTTGCTTGCACCTAACCTAACCCAAGCTAATGGACCCGGGTATACCCAAATAACCCATCACCCATTGCGGGGTCTGATGATGAGGGAGGGGGGTTTGTTATCCTCCGACAGAATCTTTGTCATCCGCATTTACTCGCGGCAGGCATGAAGTACCCGAATATGTAGCTGCAGGTTTTTGGTGTATTTTTGACTTCTACTCCAATGAAAATTGTAGATTAGGACGTGCATTTTCGGGTACTTCTTACCTGCTGCAAGTAGGGATGAACTCATAAACAATTAGCGACATGTAAAGGTCGACGAGCTTACGTAATTGGTTGCGAATTTACAAAATATTGAACTCCTGGACGCACGCGGAGTTGAACCCGCATCATCGCGGATATGCAATATAACCCATACCATTTTCGCCATAACCAAGGATACTGTACTCTGTTTAGGCAACTCATCACCTAGGATACTGAGAGGAAAGATAATTTACCCTTCGCCCCTGATGGCCATCGCGCTATTTTAGCAACAGAATTCACTAAGCCCAAAATCAGCAAAGTGAAGTTTATTCTTTTTTTTCCTGGTAAATAAAGTCGAAATTGTAAAAGGCCATGACTACATGTACATATAAAATTACCTGTCAAGGTCATTTGCTATGCCCCCAGAATCAGATACACCAAACCCTTATCACCAAAGCTTAAGTAGTTCCACTTTAGGGAATATCTTCATGGACAGTAAGAAGCAGGGACTGGAATCACTTTCATTTGATCTTGAGAATTACCACGGGACACAAAATTGATTTCTTGCGGGAGCTTTTGTTAAAACAACTACAAATAACCCTAACCCTGGTGACTTTAAAGTTCCGTAGGTCCTGTCATCCGGTGACCCTTTCTGCACATATCACAACAGCCCCGACATGTACAGATCACAAGACCATAAGCAAAACTAGATACATGTTCCAGCACCGTCAATACATAGCCATCATAATCGCAATCCGGACGCGACTACGATCACTTTAGTCTTCCCTTGTCTCGAGCCCATCATTAAATGATCAAGTTCGCTCGACAGGTCTACGTCATGGATGAGTGAGCCCACCACATCCCAATTTTCACAACAGGCTCCAAGCATAAAAAAGAACCTCGCGATCTAATTCCTCCGGCAGGAACACATGCAACCAAGCCTACGTATTCGCCCATGATCATTGTTGGAACACCCACTTCAGGCCCCCGTGACGCGCGAGCAGGATGAACAGGAATAGGCCGCGCGTAAACGGTCTATTCTAACATGTTGCTAGGATAGAGTTATCTGAGGTACTGCGGGCATGAGGTGGACCTTATTCCTCCGAGGTTAGGTTGTGTAGAACTGGCCGCTCGCAAGGAGTCATCACTTCCCTTCATTTGACGAGCTGGAGCTTGGGCAAGCACACGCGCCGAAGCCTTTGTCTGGAAACGGCTGTACACTAAAGAGATGGACATGATGGCGGCGAGAGAGAGCGTCATCGACTGATGTGAATGCGATGGGGAGTAGGAGCTAAATGGTGGTGGTATGTGATTGTCCTATTTTGCTCTCTCACAGCTATTAGTCATCTCCTTCCCATAAACTCTGTAAATCTGTTCTCGTATTGTCACTGGAGATTCGCGTTAATCCCACTCCCTTCTATCATATCGCACACGAAAGGTTAGAAGTACCTCGCGCGACAAGGGAAGCAGAAGACTGAACTCAAATCCTTCGGGAGAGAGGGGAAAAGAGCATGAATTATTCAATTCATCATCCAGCTGTGGTACCGGGAGTCCATGACCAGCGACGGCGTCACTGGTAAGTAGGTGAAGGCAAGGCATTAGCTGAATGTAATAACTTCCTCATTTAGGCAAACCCACCAAAATTCTTGTGAGGTTGAATTAAGCGTTGGCAGCACCTTTCCGCATGCAATCAACCGGCAGAGACATCGTCTTTCCCGTTAGCGGCTAATCAGACTGGCACCACGCTACATCAACTTGCAGATGTCAATCACAGGAACTCATAACCTCCTGCAGTCAATAATGCAGCGCCACTCCCGCTTGCAAGCTCCGATCAGTGCACGGTCACTCCTGTTAGCGTAATCATCCGGGAGTATGAAGTAACAACAATCGAGGCTCGTAAAAACTCTAGTCGGGGATTGAGAATCTGTGCCTGACTGAGTGGATGCTAAATTAACCGACATCTTCGTAGCCTTAACTCTTTTATATAATTGCGATCGAGACGCCCACTCACGCGAGGCCGACCGTATACGAACCCGAGGCCAGTATTGATAGACGAGGTACGTACCATTACCTTTCTCGCAATCTTCCCAGTACTATCGCGACTTCATGATCAGTGATAAAAGCGAAGCAGCAAATCTCAAGGGAGATAAACCCTAATACAGCATCAAGGTCATGAGGATTATCCCACAAACCGTTAAACAATATAATTAAGGATCAGATGCGGCTAGAGCCAATATATACATTCAAATAGTTTTGCTGATCACTTACTCGATCTCGCTGTTGCTCTTTATCTCACAAGAGTGTATCATGGCGTCGACGGTGTATGGGGTAGCAAACTGCCCTGTAAGCGGAGAAGAAAAGGTCATTCAGTGCCAATGGGCTCGGTCGACCAATGCGCTCTCTGGTGGGCTAGTAATGTGTATTGGCACGTTGGACGTACATAACACATACAGTAAACTTGCTTCCCCAGAGCGCAGTGGGTAGAAGTGGTCTGTTTCACATTCTGGGGCCAAGACTATATGGGAATTAGGATCGCTCCTTGTCCGATCGCGATCAATGGTGCCACTGTTTCGGACGCGTAGTTTAAGACGGTCTCAGATCGAGATCCCCATCCATACCTGGAAATACACATGCAAGCCCTGACGTGTAATTGTTATCGGAGTACCGTAAAATCTGAGAAATTTCGTTGCGCTGCAGCAGGGATCTTTTACACCAGAACTTGCAGATTGACGTTAAAAGACTGCCTCTGATAGGTCTATATGCGCATTTATCCCTGCTGCAGGGCAACGAAATTTCTCAGATTTTACGGTAGAAGTCAGAAATACATAAGACCTTGCAGCTGCATTTTCGCCGGCCTGGGTTAAAATAGTTAGGACTAGTCTAAAAAATGGTTTCGGACTGGACGAGACGATTTTAGAAAGGGTGGGCCGGACTGGACTGGACCAAATCATGGTGTCATTGGACGAGACTTAACCCAGCGATAGGATTCATCGCTTCGAAGGAGAACCCGTACCCTATTCGTGGATCCGACAGAGGTAAAATCTGCAGTGCTGTGTGCAGAAACGAAATGAATGAGCGCCCAGGTCTGTACTATAGGTGTGTGGTTAGCTTTTGTTTTCTGTTTAGAAGGGTATGGCGCGCGTGTGAGCCTCATCGATCCAGGCAATAAAATATTTGGGGAAGGGCTACTATTTCACTTTGGAGACCATGCAACTCTTCGACATGGGATGCCAAGCCTGACTCACGCCTAACCCAGAGCGGAAACCCTAACCCACGGGAATAGTCTATTGAAAGGGTACTATTTTTTTAGTGGTAAATTCGGACTACCTGCGCGCTCGGGATCTGACGAATGTAGGGGACGCGCTCCTAGGCTACCGAGAGCGAGACTCTCAAAAGTAGCAGTTCTGAAAACGTTTTTACATTCGCTCCCTAGATACCAAACCTGCAGGTAGGCCGAATGTGTCACCAAAGAAATAGTAAGAAGCTGGCATATTATATGATTTAGTCAAGGTTGCGGCATCTGCTCCTGTGCTGTATCAATGGTTATGACACTGTGGCTCAAAATGTGTCCGATCTCCGGATTTGATGACATGCTATTTCTAACCCTTAACTTTGGTGACCGACTAATCTCGCACCGCTCCGTGTCCTTTATGCTAACTCAATAAATATCTATGCCGCACCCCACATCCTTCAACATAACTCTAGATCCCCAAACCGATAGCGTATACTTTCTCTATGCGGGGGTGAAGAGATTGCAGGGTTAGCCTTTTGAGAGGAGATGATCATTTCCACCCCGCACCATAATAACATGCAGTAGAGTATCGGCCGCGGCCGAAGAGACGGATTAGATAGCTTAATATTCCTTGCGCGTGCGAGTTTCTCATGAGCAAATACGAGCTCCACAACCCCGCCAAGATAGATCTGGTTGTTTTTCTCGGTGCTGGGAGAATGGTTATGGAGCTGTGATGGAAGAGAAGCTCACAGAGTCGGAACAGCCGATGTCGAGAGGAAAGGGCTGGCCACTAGTATCGAATGGGGATGGTATGAAAATGAGGTGGCGGGTAGCGGGGATATATGGTGACTGCTGAAGGATCCACATCTTTTTTTCAATTCGTGTAGATACGAGAAGCTCTGCGAAATGAGTAGCTTAGAGAAGATATCGTCAGATTTACAGCTCATATTGGTGCTGTGTAGTCGGTCCTCTTGCTGCCAGGCGCCGTTGTTAAATGGTTCGATAGTTCCCTGTCGCTCTCTCCTCCACTCTCCCGAACTTTCAGATCTTTCGACTCACCACCCTTATCGAATGCGCTGTAGGCGATCTGGAAGGCTTCGCGGTACTAGGCCTATACGAGGCTGGGTTGTGATTTGATTTCTAAACATTCGCCGCGCTGTGATCTTTCGGGTTGGAACGAAAGGTCCTGGATACATAGCCGGAAACGTACCTGTGTTGCTATTTGGTAAATATCTTCTTACTGTGGGAGGTAAATATCCGACCGTAACCACGGGCGTTAGGCAAAGCTTTGATTGTAAGGGAGCGTTAATTGCGTCATCGGGGCGTGGAATTCGATGGCCAGGAGAGGGGAATGAGACGGAAGCGAACCTCCGAAAGAACTGCCCGCGAGAACGAGCAGAAGAAAGGTCGATCGACATGAGCGCTATTAGATTCAAAGTTTCTGTTTTTTTTTTTTTTTTCAGTATCACCCTCGATAAATTGGAATGTTTATGTCTATGCATACGTGGTAGCAGAGCTGGATGCGGAGGTATCGATTAGGCTGTATGTTAAAAATGGTGCGTATTCGACAAAATTACAACCTTTCTAGGCGCATCAGTCCCGGAGTCCCAGCGTCGTCGGAACCGCCAGTGGTAGGAGCTGGGGGCGCACCAGCCAAGACTTCAGGGTAAGGGTTGTGAGTAGAGAATGTTCCGACCATGGGGTCCTCAAGTCAAGCAACCCCTCCTGCTCGTCTCGACCTGCCCGACGCGAACTTGAAGCTGAGATAATTATAGTATCAGTAGTATGTATTTAGTGGGATCTATGTTTCCAAGATGACCGGGACAATGTCCCTAGATATTCCCGGAGTCGTCAGTACAGCAATCTAGTCAATATTTCTACCATATCCATAGACTCGCTTCGCTTGATTTGCGCAAGAATATGATTCCTATACGTTTGATGTAGTGATTATCTACTTCGAGCAGCTCAAGCACCTCGAGGCTTCTGCTCCCTTCGTACGAGTACTGAAAGGCACCGACGCAAGGAGGCAGCGGCGCTTCCAGACACTTCTCCCCGCTCCCCTCAAGCAACCTTGGAGACCACACTATTGATAAGTGTCCTCAGATGAAGGTCGTATCTGCCGATCAAATCCCAAAGTCAGAATCGAGAAATATTGTCCCGGATGTGACCCCCCCCAATCCCATCTGCTCAAAATTAAGCGGGACGACATCTACCGTTTCATGTCTCCGTATCTCATTCAGCTCAGGAACACCAGTTCCAGTCCGCATAAGCCCTTGAGGATCTGAGGGGGGAAGAAACACAGTTCGCTCCTCTCCATCCGAGAATCCGCTATGCGAAGCCTCAGATGGGTTAGGGTTCTGCTTAAATTCCTATTTTTCTTTTTTTGTTTAATTCATTTCAAATATTGTTTTCTGGAAAGTGATAAGTGTAAGTTAGACCAATATACCATCGCAGTCTCATGTGTATTTATTGTCCCCACCGTCCTCCGTACAAGTATGCCGGAGTGTGGAGACTGCTGCCTATAATCCGAGAGTGTTGAGTTTAGGACGGGTATTGCCGCGACATTATATCTCACTCGAGTTCACGTGACGGGTCGTCCATGTTTTGTACTTTTGGCGTACCTATTCGCGCTGCCGGATTAAAGCCACTCATACAAAAAAGGTAATTGATCTAAAGACTGCAAAAAGTCGAGCTCTTGTTGGCTGCCAGATCACTCGCCACAGTTCTTTGAGCGGCTTCAAACGGCCGCGCGAGTGCTTGCTTGACGATTGGTTTTAACGTTTATAAAATCGCGACCCGAATAACAACATGCACCACTGGAAGGTAGAGTGCCGAGATAAATCTTGCAAGTTACGTACACTGCGTCAGCTACCATCGACCTCCAGAAACACAACAACTCTCTTTCCAAGTCCACAAGGTTTGCCAAAGTGCGCGAGGTGTCCTTGGTAGGCCTGGTGCCGCGTCATCACATTCTATGGATGGTGTAAAGGGCGGCAGAAATCAGACATTCAAAGGTTGATTTCCCTTGGCACTCACTATTAAACCACCCGATTTCCTCTTCTCCTCCTTCTTTTCTCCGTCTTCACATCACCGCCATCATCACCGCCACACGCCTCCATCATCCTTCATCAACCTTACTCACACCCATCCCCCAAAATGTCTCACCAAGCCACAGACTCTGTCCCCTCGCCGCTCCCCATCTCCACAGACTCTCCCGGAGACCCCACCGTCTACCCCGACGGCTCCGCCGCCTCTGCCTCGGCCACCTCCATCGCCAACCCCGTCCCGGACAAACAATCCTCTCCCTCTCCTACTGCCCCCAACGGCTCCCGCGCACCACCTCCTATTCCTATCATCCCAACCATGAATCTCGGCTGCAACCTCGGCGGAGTGCCGATGTGGCTCAATATGAACCCCACGACGGGCGACCCGGTGCTTGTCCGCGCTGTGCTCAACGCGCAGATCGCAGGGGCGGCCTATCGGCTTGACCCTACTCCGGAGAATAAGTAAGCTGCACATCCGGGCTGCCGATTTGTGTGCTGACGGGGAGGTAGGGAGGCACTGATGGAGGCTACGATGTTCATGTTTGAGCGCGTGAGTGAGTTGAAGTGTAAGGCGTTCAGGGAGGAAGGGTTCCCGTGGTATGGGATGCGCTATTATTGTCTCGTGTGGTTTGGGGTGTGGGAGTGGATGGATGTGTTGTGGCTCGGTATGATAGTATGTTATCTTTCTGAGATTTGGAAAAATGCGCTGACGATTGTTAGCTGGGTATAGCTCGCTCGATTCCTTGGTCTCGCGGATTGTGGTGGGGTTGTGGGAGTTGCTAATGGCTCGTGTAGTACCGATCTCGGTCTTGATCATCAAGATTTACGAGAACCTTACGTCGGTTGGAGTCGTGAATGTCTGAAACCTAGGATGTGGTCAGGGAGCTGGTGAGACTTCAAGTTCGTGCTTGCCCTGAGACCTTATTCTAACACCCTTTCTAGCTCTCGATCATCTTTTTCCCAACTCTGGAGTCTTTTTCCAGCAGGATTTCTTTCATCCATGTTCCCGGTAACCACCTTCACTCCCCCCCCCCCCCCCAAATTCTCGTGGAGGTTTCCGACAGCTTCAGTGTTTTGAAGGGTCAATCATCGGTTTTTGCGTGGGTATATTTTTTAGTTTTCCTGGGTTTCAATGGTACCGGGTTGTTCGTGGAGGAGCAACGTTAAAAAAGACTCCGGTAGCAGATTAATTCATATGATTGCTACTGAACCTTTCTCTTTCTTCACACTTGTGCGCTTTGCCAATACCGTACTCTACGAATAGATGGAGCTGTGCAGAATTAATATTGACGACACACACTAGTTTTCTACTGCCATAACTATCATCGTCGTTGCTATCTCTATTCCCCTCGCTAGGCCTAGGTAGAGGTAGTGCAGCCAAGACAAACGAGTGATTCACAATGATTCACCTCACCAAAAATTGCCAAGCAGAACAAGTAGGGATGATGAGCCTCGGCGCCAAGAACATATGTATAGCAACGGACTAAATGAGACTAGTGGAGAGAACATACGGCGATTAGTACAAGTACTGTCCTGTAGTTTTAAATATTAACTAAGGCTCATGCTCAACAATTGCTTAAAACAAAAAGCAAATTTGTATTGATAGATATAGTCGTTCCTGGGATAATGGCGGGCTGGTCTAATGGTGAACGGACCAGTCGAAGCAACGACAATCAACAAAAGCCCACTGACCTCTTTTCCTTGGCTGACTATCAAGTCGAAAAGTCGCCATTTTCAGCCGGCTTGCCATTGTCCCAGGGACAACTGTACCCTTTAAAATAGCCTCTTATTTATAGCTATCATTTCTTGCCGTCGCCCCAGAACGTTTGCCCTGCAACATTTATTTTCTTGTTTAAAGTTTAAACACGCCGTATTTCCTGTCGTGTTTGTTCTTGGTCGAGATCCTACGTGTTGATATGAAATAACTGGCGACAGTGAGTGTGTCTCTCACTGCCTTGCACTAGCTCAGGATATTTCCTCATCCACGTTAGCCACAGAGCGATGTCCCGGTACCGCCAACATCGCTCAAAGCATCGAGACCCCCCAAATATGCGGATAAAAACCAAAAGCTACTCCCCCGGATTATCCCGATCCTCCGGGTATGCAGACCCTCGCGACTATGCAGGCATTTGTCCTTTCTGAGGTAGTATTGACGAGGTTTAGCGTCAATGTCTGGGTCCTCGATCATTGACAATTCGGCCACAGGCGATCGATCACTCGTATTTTGCGAAAAGTCTCGAGTGTTGAGTTTTTCAGTTTTTGTTTTGGCTCCGCCGGTTCTAGTGAGGCCTGACAGAAGTGTGTTTATCTCGTATATCGAGACAAGGTCTCGTTGATCGTTGGTGTTTTGATCGGTATCTGGCTATGGGTCACAGACGATCACTCGTATTTTCGAGAAGTGTCAAGAGTAGGGTTTTCTGTTTGATTGATTTTTGTCTTATCTGGTTCTACGTAGGTCTAGGTAAGTATTGTCCTCTCTCGTATCGTGAGACTAGAGCTTGTGACTTTTCGTCTCGTACCCATCACTGTGTAACTCTCGCCATATATTTTCCAAACACCGAGACTTAGAGCAACCCATCACAGTATGCGCAGCTAAATCGAAACCTACTACTCCCGGACTATCCTGTTCTTATAAATACGCTAACTCCGAAACGTTGGCAGGTGGCTGTCCCTTCTGCGCTAGGACTGAGTAGGGCTAAGCTCAATATCGGGCCGATCATTGATATTGAAGTCACGGGCGATCACTCGCAGTCACGAACATTCTCGAGAGTTGGTTTTCTTTTGGTTTTTTTGTTTTGGCTTCTCTCGTTCTAGATCAAAATAGATAAGTACTGGCCTCTCCTGTATCTCGAGACATGGTCTCGCTGATTGACGTTTTGATCGACAATGAAGTCACAGGTGATCACTCGTATGTTTCGAGACTTCTTTTTCTTTTTTTTCTAGTTTTGTGTTCATTCGTTCTGGCTAGCCTTAGCTGGCGATTGTGATGTCTCGTATCGCGGAGGTAGGGTCTCGAATGTTTTGTGCTGTGCTCATCACTAGACTCTCGCCATGTATTGTGTAAACATCGAGACCGAGGGCATGTCATCAAAATCATGCTCAGAAAAACCGAAAATCACTCCCCTAGATTATCCTGCCCCTCTGAGTACACACATTCCCAAGCCTAAGTAGGCATTTAGCCCTTTTGCGCCATGATCAAGGAGGGTTAGCGTCATTGTCTTGATGATAATTGATATTTAGTCATAGGTGATCACTCGGATATGTCGAAAGGTGTCGAGAGTTGAGGTTTTCTGTTTCGCTTGTTTACTGTTCTCTCGTTGTGGATAGAGCAAGCTGAGCGCTATTTTGTATCCCATCTGGAACTAGGGCTTGAGGTCTTTCGTCTTGTGCCCATCACTATACTGAAGCCAGGTAGTGTGCAAATTCCGAGTCTTAAAACATACGCAGAAAAGTGCCCGGATTATCCTGTCAGTCCAACTCCGCGAACCCTCAAGCCTAGACAGGCATCTGCCCTTCTCCTCCGAGGATTTATTAGGATTTAATCAATGTCCCGCTGATCGTTGACATTGAGGTCAAGGTGATCACTCGAATTTAGAAAACCCTTGGGGGGGTTTTTCAGTTTATGTCTTGTTTCGTCTGCTCCTGTGCTGGAGGAATATAGCTAGCTAAAGATCGCTTGCTCCGTTTCGCAAGACAAAGTGTCGCGATCTTTCGTCTTGCGCCTATCACTATGTAACTCTCGCCATGTATTCTGTAAAGTTTGAGACGGTCTAGTGTAAGCTACCAAGGTCCGCGTAGAAAACACAGAAATTACTACCCAAATTATTTTGCCCCTCCAAAATACGACAATTCTCAAGAGTAGGGAGGCGTTTTTCCTCCTGCGGTAGAATCGAGTCAATGTCTGGTTGATCGTTGACATTTAGGTCACAGGCGATCACTCGCATTTTCGAAAGTCTCGATTTTCCTGTTTGTCTCTCCCATTTGATATAGAGCTGACTGAGCATTATTTTGTTTCGTATTGGGAGACAATATACTAGGAGCTTTCGTGTTGTGCCGGCCCGTCACCTTTGAAAGCTTCGGTGTCGGGGGTAGTTCTGTAATGAGGTGGATCATAATATATCACTCGTCTCACGTAACAAGGTCAAAAAATGGCTTATCTTTTTTTTTTTTTTTTGGTTGCTCATTAATCGTATACAGCCTTATAGCTATGGAGATATCGCACAGAGACTCCAGAACTTCCCAGCAACCTCCTTCGCCCCTCACTAAAATAGCAAGTGAAAATGAAAATACAATACATAATGGTAACTTTGGAAAGTATCTCCCAAAACAATTTCTTGTCCGCTTATCACTGTAATATACACTGTCTCTCAGTCCGCGCCACTCCGAACTCATTTCCCTCTTTCCCCGTTCTCATCCTCGGCTCCTCCTTTTCGTAGCGCCATTTTGTGGCTTTGTCTCGTACCTCGAGGCAAGGTCTTGATATTTGCGTCTGGTGCCAATCACTAGATATTGTTCATATGGTATAGTTGATAAGGTAGCTGAGGAACACGTCAATCTGTTTCTGTTTGTTTTCCGCGATGCGTGCGCACAACAGTTCAAGTACTGCATCTAACACGGGAGCGGTCTTCAGCTGGCTCCATTGGCGTTGTCATCTATGTGTTATCTCTCCCGGGCAGTCGCGCTGCCTGGTTCACCGTTTCCACATAGCGTGCTCCCGATTACACTCCCAAACCCTGCAAGACGAGCAATTATTACATACCCACTGTTTGGGGAAATGCCAATGCTAAGCGATAGTTCTGTAGCTTTTAAACTTGTAATATTGTAAACCGGATTCCGCTCGCTGAGTGACTGATGATGCCACTAAGACGAGGCAGAACCCTCCCTATTTATACATATTGGAACCTATGCCAAGGCCCGCTTTCTAATACTAAAGAGATAACGATAATAGAATAAGATAATCAACCCGAAGATAACCCCAGTAGAAAAGCGCCCCCGCATAGTTCCGTTCCTCCATTCTAATTCTAACACGTAACCATAAACCCCGCAATTGCCAGTAACCGAGCTGTATCAAGCTATTGTCCTAGAGCTACTTCCCTAAGTAGAATGGCCTGCAGCCATAAGCCCCGCTTCTATTCCATTCCGGGTGAGACACCCAATAGTAAACGTGCCCTCACAACAGCCTAATACTAGTGTGGTTGCACCCGGTGCCCCCACACCCCTCGGTACCTTTCTATGCTTGTTCCCTCGTTACCCGACCGTACTCGCATCACAACCCATCACTCGTATTATCCTTGTTCCTTGACTTAGGAGCAGTGTTCGTGTTTCCTATAACACCCACCGGACTCAGGACACCACAGCTCGCACACCTGGGGCTCGAGACATACACAAGGTCCACGCTTTACCGTCGCGGAGAGGTGTGGAGGACACGATTAGTTCTACTCCGGCCCCGGACACCACAAGTTGGACGGAATGATGGTTGGTATGGTCGCCTCATCCCCGGTGTCTCATCTCCTTTCTGGATCGAGGGTGACGGTGAGTGCTGCTGGACGAAATGGCCGCACAAGGTGGAATGTTCGAATGTGAAAGCAGGTAATTAGAAGAATCTCTAGGAGTGATGGAAGATAGTTAGATTATCATTGAACAAGGAAGAGCAGTCAAGACTCAAGAGTATCAGGATCGGAACAAGGAGTGAAAGACAGAGTCCGATGCGAGATCCAACGAGTAGATGTCCTTTTTGAGCGTCGATTGGTGCTAATAGGGACTGGTAGGTACGATAAGTAAAGGCTCTTGAAAGGTGCGGGTTGGAATTTAGCTGCCCCCATTCTATTCCGTAGTACCTGTTATGAGGTGTTTTCCGCGTCACCAGTCTAAGAAGCACTTCCGGGTAACAGCGCAGACTAAATGTATATGTGGAGAGAAAAGAAAAGAAAGGGATAGAAAAGAAGAAGAAATATAAAAAATAAAAAAGCTAAATAAACAGAATCATTCGGTGGTGTCCAGTGGGATGGTGGTGGGCTTGAGGAAAGCACAGTGACTTGGGGAGGGAAGGGGTACGAGGTGAGAGACCCAATTTATTTCCTTTTCCTTTCCCTTCTTTCCTTCTCGCGAGCGGTTCTTGAAAACCTCTCCTTACTAACATTGTGGGTCGGACTCTTGGGACTATATTGGCCTTCCGGTGTAGTGTATATTGTCTTTTATCTCTATCATTCAGTTATTCTTCGTCCATGTTATTTCAATTGAGAAATGTCACCCCACGAAAACAGGTGTCTCCCTGATATGCTCAACGGGTCGAGGAGTCAACGATCGCAGGTTTCGTGTGCTTCCATGGTAGGGTGCTTCGCAGGAATGGATTTGCTGGCGGCTCGAAGTGTGGGCGAGAGAGGTCCACTATCTCGGTTCCCTCCGGGAGCAGTCTGTTGATGTGTGGATGGTAGGACATCGATCGTGCTGCAGGTTCAAAATAGGTGGTCGATGGCGATAGGGTGGGGAAAATGTAGCTCTGACACCTTTTAGGTATGAGCTCATAAGATTGCGCACCTAACAACGACGCAGCTAGACTATGAACTCTTCATCAACCCTGGTGATTTGGGGACTTTTGGGGCTACGGACATTTTATTACAGGAGTGAGGTACTCCGCGCCTGATGAGACACCGGGCTCTAGTCAGTTTCAGAGGTTGACTGGTTCCGAAATATTGCACAAGGGGTGCCAGTAGGGGGACCTCGTGTCGGAAGTTCGAGACGAGAAGAGATGAGTTTGGTTTTGTCGGAGGTTCTATGATATGTGATCATCCAGTGAGAGTATTTCCAACGTGGCGCGGGTAAAAACGGATCCTTTCCGAGAGCCGTTTCGGTAGTTCCCTGGATAATTCTCTTGCTCTTGTAACCTTTCTCATAGACTCAGTTTTCGAAGGAGCGCGCGAAGTATCTTCTAGATGTACATAATTGAAGCTCTCGATGTCGTTCTTCTGTGAATTATGTGCCTGGGAATGTCGCTAGGTAATCTCTGAGGAGAGGATTTGAGCGTGAGGAATAAAGTTCCATCTTCCACGATACCATCCCTAGCTTTGGTATTACGAGGTGAGAAAAGCTTCCCGCTGTTAATATTTCGTCACAAAGGCGTGGGTGGTGAATGGTGGGGTGAGGTAGGAAGAGGTGTCATGGGTGATCGTGGGGGACGCGTAGTGTATCTAGTGTTTCCAACGGTTGTAACCAGTTCTTATTCTCAGCGTAACTGCACTTTACTGCACTTAACTGAACCGAACTGAATAAAAATAGCCGACAACTGAACCGACCGAATAAGAACCGGTTTATACTGCAGAACCGTTCTGAGGTCTTGGCGCCAGTCTAGCAGAAACCCTACACCAAATGTGTTCAGGGTTAGGGTTGCTTCTATACAGGGTGTTTATACATTGTATGAGGAGTTCCAACTGCATACAAAACCGGCTTTGCCCAAGCCAGAACTGAACTGAACTAAATACAAAACTGAACTGAACTGTTTTGTTAAACGGTTCAAGAAAACCGGTTTGAACTCATAAACCGAAGAACCGTCAGAAACACTGAGTGTATCGAACCTGTCCCTTAGGTAGACCTTCGTCCATTTTCTCTGTCTTGTCTCCTTTGCCCTTCTTATCAACTCCTGTTCGCATTTCCGTCTGCGTTTCGTACAAAAGCACGCGAAATTATGCCACCCAACAATATAACGCTGCCTACTGCATCGTCTCTTGACCTCCTAGATGAAGAGCTCAACCTTTGATAATTTATTTTGAATCCATTAATAGCTATGTGAAAACATGGTAAGATAGACGTTCTCACAAATTAGCACCACGAAGTCCTTGATCCAATAACCGTCTTCTCCCCCTCCTCCTGCTTTCACTGCACCCCCCCCCCCCCCCCGCGGGTGCTCCTCTCCTCTTGCCCATTACTCTACCCTTATTCCTGGGCCTGCATGTAAGTTGTGTATAGTTAACGGGGTCTACAGTCATCAGATGTTACTCGGGCGTTCCTGCCACGTCCGTGTTGGGGATCGATTCCCTATGCCAATTGGGGCGGTCGAACCTTTCCTTTTCCTTGATAGATAGAGCGGATCTAGGGTGGAGCAGGTCTAGGGTGTCACTGCCGTTCGCCGCTTGAGGGGGAATGGCATATAGACGGTCCGATATCTCTCTCTACTTATTCGCGCGCATACCTGTCCCTTTCCTACGTTTTCGTTCCCGCCCACTCTCACCTGTCAATTATTTCTCTCCACCTATTCCTCCATGGGGCATCAACACGTGCAGCGGAAGTGGTGATTCCAGAGGACACCATACAGGTCCTAGGGCAGCGGACATTTTCAGCATATAAGACCTATATCGGGGTATTAGAGGAGGATAGAGAGACCTGCAATCTCTCGGCGGTTTCAAACGTTCCTAGAGCCAATGTCGGACATCAGATTTAGCGGTTAACACAGTCGTACCAGCTTAGGGTTACCGGACCAATGCTATGGGAGGAATGTGCCTACGTGCCTGGGCGATGGTTGCTAGTGCGCTGCTTGCTAGTGACGGTAGGCAGTTTTCTACCTGCCTCATGTGTGGAGACCTGGCACTAGCTCCAGCAGCTCTTAGACTAGAGCCGGCGGCATTTTCAGTTTGCAAACTGTCTCGGAGGATAAAAGCGTTTCGGTCACTTGCGGTCAGGTCCTAGCTACATTTGTTACTCGCTCGAATAAATGTCACATATTCTTCACCAATCGAATACTTTTCTCTGTGGGTCGCTCTCAATTGGGTGGTCTTGCGTCAAACACCAGCGCTCAAGCGACCCCCCGACATGCACGACATGCTGTCTCTCCGCTACAAGCTCAAGCATGATTGTCTCTTCTGCGCTACAGCAGCAGCAGCAGCAGCAGCAAACGCCCTTCCATGCTGCTTGAGCGAGATCAAATGGCACCTTGACGCTCGGTACCTTGCTCAACATGTGAAATACTCCGGGAGATCCATATGTTTTATCCATGTCGAGACAACTGCTGTTACTGATTTTGTAATAGATTAGGGGCCCAGTAGTTGCAAAGCTCATCCTTCGTCCTCCAAAGCTATCGGTGACACGTTATCGACGCCCATCTTGATTCAATGACTTATTTTAGGATCGTAGATGATCATATGAATAGCTTCTTATGTTCCTTCCACAGACCTTTTTTCACCATGACCAGTGCACTATACATCAGGGCCTATCATTCCTAGCTTTGATCCCGCGGGATTTCATTAGTGAGAAAGAAGCCAGATAATGTTGTCCAAGTTCGTCTCCTGATAGATGCTATACTGTATGGTGTTTACGTTAATTATTCTGAATCGTATGTTCAAGGGAGCGGGGGTGACTGCCAATTTATAGCAGGCGATAGTGCCAGGTATCAGGATCCGTATATTTCCTCGACCAAGATCTAACATAACAGATATGACTCTACATACCTGCGGCTACTTATGCCGCATAGGCAAAATGTACTAGCACCACCTGGTCTCCAACCCGCTAGACGCCAAGAAGGATATCTGTACTCGAATAAACGACTCACTAACAGACGAAACCCACACCTATACCACACCATCTCTTCCGACTCGGCACGTATTGATTTCTGAATCAGCTGGACAGCTATCAGGTAAGAAACTACATTTCGGTGGATCTCGACTTCAACCGTCCCGCTTCTGTGCTAGACAAAGAAGTGATAACGGGCCCCGTTTTCATCTCTATGAAGGCCACAGTTCCCTGTACGATCAATGAATGATGACGATCCTAATCTAAAATCATTTTTTATATATAGCTAGAGAATATTGTGGTCCACCATCCACAAAGCCGCTAGCTACAGGCGCGCAGCGACAAGTACCTTGATCTGCCTCTGCCTCGTACGATCCATATATGTCTCTGCTTGTTCGTGCAAAGAGAGTTCATACCTCGAGGTACTCGAGCTGTACTCGTGACATATCATCACTACGATTAATCAGACTTGTGAACATTGGAGCTTATTGTTAAAAGTAATGTTTCTATAATAGAAAATATTTATCCTGCTGAATATATACAAGCCACGAACACTAGTATGATTACCTAAACCTCGAGCATACTCGCTTTAGAAGCTCCAGTGCTTCGAGCTCTCTCAAGAAAGAGGCGTCGGGCATTAATACTACCTAGATTACACAAAATACGAGTTTGCAAAATCAGCTGGACACTCCGTTGGAACCAGATTTTGTGTGGGAAACGTACTTCGGCGTCGTCCTATAACTATCACCCCCTGCGGTACCTTTGGGAGCGATGCTAACCATTCTTCTCTCCTCTTGGCTCGCCCGTCTCGGGATAGTCTTGCGAAAGCCGAGTGGGGCGTTGTGGGCTGAGGCCCGGCGGGAAGCTTTGCGGAATAATGTCTTGACGTCTTCCTTGGTCCTTCTGTTCTTTCCCTAACTGTTTCCTGGTATGGCTGACCAACTCATATCGGATGGATGTGTAGCGGGGGGTTGGGGTTTGTCTGCTGACTGGAGGTGGCCAACGTGGTGAATGATGGGTGGACTAGACTGTTTTGTCACTAAAAGTATAACACTAGTATATCTTGGCGGATTCGGGGGGCCAGAATATTTGGTGTCGACCTGCTCCAGACAAAACTTCACGACGTGTCGTCTTATTGAGAACTCTGTTTGTAAGGCAACAGAGTAGGAAAAAGTCAAGAGATGTTACTTCGGTGATTTGCTAAGCTATTGTTCCCTTAGTTTCTAATATCGGCAGGATAGTAGATGTGTGAAAGCTTGATCGTTGTTGCCCATTTAGTTTTGTGGTTGTGACAGTGTCCGGTTAATTTCGAAGATCATATAGTCAAGTTTTCCAATAAGAAGAGAGAGTGTTGGATGATTTCTAATCGATTGAATTATTTGAGTGGAGGAGCTTGTGTTTCTTGTCCGCTCTCTTCTCGCTTTTATCTGACTAATGATACACATATTATCTTGGCTAACCATGGTGTCCCTGATGTGCCCTAGCTCCCTTTGCAGCGTATCCCGTGTCCACTGTGTCTCGAACGGGTCACACACAAAAATTGCAGTACAGACAGCCAAGAAAAACGAGTGATTCATCATGATCCCCCCGCCAAGCATAACAGACAGGGATTTTCAGCCTCAGTGCCAAGGGTTTATTTAAATGAGGCTCAATTAAATATTTAAACATGATAAAACTATTCATGCAGAAATTTTGTAGAGGGGTGAAACATGCCTAAACGGCTGTTGTAATGAATTTCCTAATACTGGTTAGCATATATTTTAGATATTATATATTTTTATTATGATTATACTATTTATTAGTTATTTAATTATTATCTTATTTATTATTGATTTTATTATTATCTTATTTATTTGTTAGTTGATTATTATCTTTATTATGGATAATAAGATTAATACAGAAATACAGTATTATATTCTTGTAGCATAATGATTTGCAGCAAACCAATAACTTATGATATAATCAAGCTTACTAATACTATCTTGTGTTCGGAATATTATAAAGTTTTGTTTTTTATATCGTGAATATTATAAGCCTAAAACCTATATCTCTAAATAGGATATGAGGATTGTAGATTGTAAAAGCTTTTCATTAACAAAATAGTTTCACTGTCAAAAGATTTGAAAATATGATGTGTAAAATTAGAGAAATTTCTTTATTTATATTTACATAATATTATATGTTTTTGTATGATATATCAGCTTCCATGAGTGTCCGTTACACAATCATATTGAAATTATTAGATAACAATAATGTAATTGCAACAGGGTAGTTGCAATCAAATTTTTCATATAAACTTAAATTCTGTATTTAAAGAAGTTGATTATACTACCTACTTGATCCTTACATGATACTGACTTGTCAATTTTATCGTCAGGTTTGTGTAATCCTTTCCTGTCCTTATTTATCTGTATTTGATCCTTTTTTTCATCCTGTCTATTTACTTTATATTTGTTGGTAATGTCGTCTCTGTCATTGGTTCAGTTGGATATAAAATACCGACGGTTGTTTATTATGACTCAGATGGAAATCAAAATGATTTGGAAATCAGACACTTTGAATCTTCAAATAATAAGATCTATCCAGATAGGGTATAAACTGTTTGCATCTGTACTGAGAATGTACCTTTACCGAGCATCTAATCTGATAATCTCTTGTCTGGAATTGTCTGTGGGTGAGGGTTACTCAAAGGGAAGGGCCGTTACAAACTCGGTCATATCATTCATGGAACAAGAGGGACCTAAAATATGATATAAGATTGTTTTTAATGTAGTTTTACATCAGGAATCCGAATCTGGAAGGAGATTTTATCCGCCAATATTATTCATGAAGATGTGGGCCAAAACTGTTTCTGAACTGTAGAATTTCATAGAGTTAACCACCAATCCCTACTATATTCAGGTGAGAGAAAGATATTATCATATGAATGAGAACTCTTTTTAGAATAGTTTTGCATCTGGAATCATCTCCTGACATCGGGTTTCACCCACTGGCAATATTCATGAAGATATAGCCAAAAATTGATTGTTAATGGCAAGATTTGATATAGTAATTTACTGATTATTATTGCGTTTAGATAAAAGAATTGCATTATACTATAAATGAGAACTATTTCTAGGGTAACTTTATATAAAGAATCTTCTCCTGGCATTGGATTTCACCTGCTGGCAATATTTAGAAAGAGATGGCTCAAAATAGTGTTTGAGTCATGAATATAGTAAATGTCAGATCTCGATTGCCATATCATTCATACAATATAAGTGTGATATATTTTAAGAAAGATTCTCCCTAGAACAGATTTTGACGATGAATGTAAATATAATATTAGAATTGACCCGCCATAGCTAATGGTGTAGTGGCAGACCTTATTTATCTAAAATATTTCAGATTCGCTATCTGAATCCGTAGAAGCAACATCAAGCTCGTCCGAGTCCAGTTCTTTTTCCAACTCTAAAAGCCTCCCAGTACTCTCACTAATTTGATCCTGTATCTTTCTCTTATCTTGTATGTGGTTAGGGGAAGATTTCCAATATTTCGGTAACGCATTCATTTCTTTTTTTAATTCCACCCGCTTTCTTTTCTCACGTACTTGAATCAAAGTCATTGTAAGTCTTTCAATCTTTTCCTTAAACACTTCCATCTTTTTTTCTTTTTTCTCCTTCTCCCGTTCCCTATTGCTGATGAAAAAATCTTCAATTTCTTGTCAGCTCCGCATTACCATCCCCTCCATCGGTATTCCCGTTCTTTTAGATGATCGTTGAGTAGACTTTCCACGCAACTTTTCCTTCAAATCCTCGTTCTCCTTTTCTTTTTCAGCCAACAGAAGCATTGAAATCTCAGCTGAATTACTGAGCTTCTATGCAAATAACCGAAATCTCTAAGCTTTAGGACAGGTTTCTGTTTGACTGGGTCCGTTTAGGAAAGTTTGAGATAATTGGTGAAATGCCTGCCATTTGCGGGGTGTTTCAAGTGCATAGAGCTCTTCCACTTCATAGCTGTTTATATCACGTGTAGTTGGTACCGGTCTTTCTTCAACTGCTGGTTTGTTTTGAGGTTGTGGCCCAGTTTAGCGCAAGCTTGAAATTTTGCGGATGACAATGTCCCTATCAATAGGAATCAGACCAATATGCTATAATCTAATTCGACTATTTGTTGAGGTAAAGGCTCGCTCCCGTGCTTGACTTAAAATCATGTAAAAGTTGGATTTTCCGACTCCACGAAACGGGGAAGTATATTGCTCATTCAAAATATTAGAGTTGTGTTTTTTATAAGAGCTAAAAATGCAGACATCAAGAGGCTATAGTCTATATGTCATATGTGGTGGTAGCTAGATGGGAGTGGTTTTGTTGACAATACAGTAATCAAGGAACTGGAAGTTGATATGAGAATTGTCTCCGTGAAGAATTAGGGCTCTATATTCATTGCCCGCTTTCAATACTCTACGGCTTGTTGGACCAAAATTTGTTTCCAATCATTGCATCGCCATTGTTTGATTAGTCCAACCATTTGGAGAACGGCAAAACAAAAAGTTATTGGGTACATTTTTGATATTTTTGAACCACTCCGACATCAAATTCTCAGATTTATAAATGATCATTGACGCAACATCATCAGCTGTACCATCTCCACAGCATGCTTCCACAATAGTTACCATATCCCTTGAACCGTCTGTTTCTTATTAATAAATACTTATTTTGCGGGAAACAGGTGGAGATACTAACCTTGATTCCGAAATAGTTTTCCTTTCTCTCTTGGATTCCTGATTACCTTCAATACTTTCGATTATTGAAAATGATTGAGTAGGAACACAATTTCATCCAAATTGTACGTATTTTGAGGTTTCAAGGAGAACTCCTATGTAACATCTTCATACATATCATAAAAATCATTTAAAATTTTTAAGTTGTCCCTCCGTACCGCCCGAATGTAGTCCAATTGGTGAGAATAAACCATACGAAGAATTGTATGTATTTTTCTAAATGGTTCAAACCAACGTCTCCCAACTTTAATTGTCGGATCTCTTTCATTTGCAATAATTTGCCCAATTTTCTTGACTTTCCAAATTTCTGGAGGGAAACCCCAATTCCCAAGAAGCTCACAACATAAAACCACAGTTTTTTCCTCGTGTGGGGTAAGCTTCTGGAGCTTGTGGTTAACCTGTCAACGCATCGGTCTACCTTCTAAATAATGTACAAATCTTGTTCTCTTAATATTATTCATTTTTGCCGATTCCGCTAGAGTATCGACGAGCCCTTCCTCTAACATCTCGTTCGCATGTTGAGCCCTTACTACCAGCGGGAGCTCCTCTTGGTCATTCGGATTCTGGGACATTGGATCGTTGACTGTGTGGGGTGTGAATTTTTTCCTGACAGAGCTTAGTGCGACCGTAGTTATACCCAGAAAAGTTACCCTAACTACAAATAGGCCTCAGCCAAGAGATCATGAGATTAGATGCTCGGCATAGGTACATTCTCGGTACAGGTGCACACGGTCTACTCATTGAATGATATACTTATACAAACTGCAAACAAAATACCGAAGGTGTTAAATCCTGTGCCACCTTGATTATTACTATGAATTCAATTCATTCATCAGCAAGCTCGGGTATTACCCAGGATGCAGCCTCTTTGTCCTAGTGGGCGTTCCACGCCCCCAGCGCCTACCTCATCTGGCACCGCTATGTGTACTGCTTGCACCCAGCTCCGCCCCGAGAGCGCCTAACCTTCCAGCACTGCCAAGAAATATGGCTCATACCTGGAGAGCACTCGCTAATGCTCTCCTCACCTGCGCCATCATGAGATTACCTCCCCCTCTGGAGATGCTAGGATGGAGTGACCTCGTCCCTAACAACTATGGAACTATTGCTTCTTTTCATTATTGCAGTGGTACCATGCAAGCACCTTTCAATACTCTCACAGTTTTCTTGAATGCTCTCACAGTACGACAAATGGTTTCACGGTACGGTGAATTTTCTCACGGTACTGTGAATGCTTCCACGAAAACTCCAGTGAATGCCTATGCAAATGCTCACCTGAGGACTACCGCGAGTTCTACCAGAGGACTCACAAATGCTCACAGAGCTGAAGCATTTATCATACCCACTCAAGGTGAGGCAATCCTCAGTTTGTCTCCTTTGTATTGATACGCTGTGGGCAAAGGATTGGAAGATACTAATTCCTCAAATGATACCTAACTTGGGTATCCTCAATATTGTTGTACGGTCAGTCATGGGATACTGATACAAGCACTGTCCTGTATGCTGTTGACGACTAGCCATGGTACAGCTCATCTGAAAAGCTCATTATCCATGTATAAACAGCAAATATGGACTGACATTGCCCCCCTAAAACGATTTTGCTAGACAGCCAGACTCAGACACTAAACGGCCGAAGCTTTACCTCTTTCTTACAATTTGCATGCATAGCAGAACGATACGAATTTTGAATTAGAGAGTCAAATTGTGCCTAACATTCCTAGAGCACTCACGAATACTCTCACTACTTTGCAAGCATTTAACTAAATTTATTCTATGTACGTAAGTCAACCGTAGTATTTAAAAACCAATTACCAGTCTCCATCTCAAACAAATAGGCCATTGCAAATATACTCTGAATATTAACAACCCAAATCTTCTTCCTCCTCCTACTACAAACCTTCAGGAGCCCATGTGAGGTATCAGCGATACTACAATCCTTTGCCTGGAGTAGCTACACTATACATAGTGTATATACTCGCCCTCCACTGTCCTGTTACTTGAACAAAGCCTCCACACGTCCTGATAAGCATGCCCGATAGACTCCGTACTCCTCTGATAACGCTACCAATACCCATACCCAATCCTTTCTTATTTTCCCATTTCCAAAAGCCATGTTTCCTGTATACGTAATAAGGTGAACCTTAAAGAAAATATATATAGAGAAGTGTGGTAATTGAGCGTGTTATTCCAACTAACCAGGGGTGGCAATGCCCCGTATTTATGCTAAAGAAAGGTAACACAAAACATAAAGAATCATAACCGTATGAGTATCAGAAAAGCATGACTAATAAATACCAAAGAAAGAATGAGTCAGAACCCATGATTCATAATAACTAATGAGAATCCTTCAATACTACGAAGTATTCCGAGCGTATTATTTCAAGAAACCTCATAGACTTCAGGTCTTTGGAAAATTGGTATTAGAATCTGCAAGCATTTGAACATCTCCAGCCAGCGTTCTAAAATGTTTTCAGAGCTCCCAGCAAAGCTCTGGTAGCATCCCGCATCCTCTGTATACTCTCTTATCAGGAAATATAACATGATATGGCTTACTTGCAGTACATCCACAATGTTGAAAAGCCTTTCCGATTTCGTGGAGAGGTTGCAAAGACCCCTTAGAGGCAACTCTCCTTCCATTATGCATAATTCATTTGGAGTTTTTTTCCTGTCTTCGATTTCAAAAATCTCAAATAACTTCTTCAAGTTACCTTGATGGCTCCAAAGGATTTCGTCAGTGCTCTCAGGATCTCCAATAATGTCTTTCAGATACAGTATTCGAATTTCTAATGCGAACCGCCGGCCTCCATTCTCCAGTATCTGCGTTGCAGCATCGACCGTATTGGATGCTCAGTATCCCTCTTTTGTCTGACGTACATGGGCGAGTTCAGTGATGTCAGTAGAGTATAGGGCAATACTCCCAACACGTTCGATATTTTCCCGATAATGTGATAATATATACAATTTGAGAAAGTTGAAATGAGACCTTTCTCGTATCTCGTGAATCTCCTCTTAGCCTAGCTGAACACTCTGGGAGCCTGAGGCGTTTAAGGTTTTTGTCCGATTTTTCGCATCCTTAACTGTCGTCTGGTATGCCCGCATTTCTAAAAAGATATCCTTGTTCTTATAGAAATTATTGAGATACCTCTCCATATAATTCAGTATGCTGATTGTATGACTCCCATACTGCGCCATTAAGTGGAATTCGATTAAGCTTTGTACACATTTCAATGCATTTACGAAGTCACCCTTGACAGCCAACTTCGGGTTTCTCAAAGCAGCCATGAGTGCTCCAAGAATAATCTGCGACAAGTTTCCCATCTCCTTCCCTTGCCATTGGGTTCTGGTACGATATGCATTGTTCGGTACTGCCATTCTAGGATAAGGTACAATCGAGGCATAAGGCTTGTCAAATTCCTCCAATCGATTGTGCTTCTTCAAGAAAGCATTGAAGAGTATCTTCACTGATCTTGCGACAAGGTATCCCACTATCTCAGCTTTTCCGGGTTCTCCTTGAATAGGTTTATCCTCTCCCGGTAATCCTCGTGATTGTACGTAGAACTCTGGTGAGTGCTCCAAAGACTGTGCAATTCCAGCTTGCATCTTGTACAAGAACTAGTACTAATATTTTGTAAGTTTGCATGCTTAGGTTGATCAGCGATATAACCTGACAATACTAGAGGGCATACACGTTTGTACCTATAACGTGGGTCTATGGACGAGAGACTATAGTGCTAAGGAATATAACCGATACAAGAACGTAGTAGAAGATATTGGTGACTATGGACTATGAGGCGGTTCTGTTTGGTCTGACAGCCAGACGGAACCCTATGACGTAGCGTAGAACTAGAATAATATTCGTGGAGTAGAATACAGAAGAAGAAGAAGAAGAAACTTATATTGCTTAGAAGCCGAAGCTTATCGCACACCTAACTACCCGACTACAACCTCCACCGACTAACCCGAAAACAAAAACAAAGTACAAAAAACTAACTACCACAGCTACGAGAACTACATACATAATAAGAAAAAACAGTGCACGAAGAGGGCGCGAATAACAAGTGATACAGGTAAGCAGAATCTAAGCGACAACAAAGAAACCGCCCCGTAGTAAGAATGAACCCCAAACTTCTCCGTCAACTACATTAGCAAGCACAATCCTAAACATGGTGTTCAACCGAAATGGTATCATTACCAACGTCCCCGGTGTCATATCTGTGGACGAACCTTAACAGGACTGGGAAACCACGCGCACGAAGGCAGGAAAGGCCAACCGCAACAGCATCAGGGGTGAAAGCGAGGGGGGTGGGTTGAATGTAGGTCCTCGGGCATCTGGTTGTCAGGCAGCGAGGAATTGAGGAGTGGCGACCGGTTGGTCAGGTAAAATTGGTGGGGTCGTCGGTCCCTGGAGCAACGGCTAAAGACTGTGCCCGAGTCGTGTTTGAAGTGGTGTCCTCTGGAGGGGACGTGCGAGAGGGGGTGAGTCTGAGACTCAGTATATATGGGGGTCGCAATCGAAAGTGCCGACCGTGTTGGATTGAGAGGTGGTCTCGGGGACCGGTAAGAATGGGTGAGGGGAGCGGGCCGCCTTGGTTGGGGATGGGTTGCCTGGTTAAGGCTGAAAAGGAGGGGTAAGGTCACGGGACCTCGGGTAAAAATTTGACGATAGTTTCGCGACCGAAGGGTCGCTAACTTCGTGGGCTGTCGAGCGCTTTGGCAGTAGGTTCTCCCTGACTAGAGATTACTGACAGTGTGCGTACCCGACGTGTGGGATCACTCGTGCGATGAGTGAAAGTAAGGAGGGGCGAAGGCGGCTTTCGAAAGTAGCCACTGGTTTGGCGAGGGGTGAACGGTGGAGGCATCCCATGAGGGCACCAAACGAACAAAGAAAGGGGATATCGAGCGAGGGGAGTTCAGGGTCCGAAGCAATTCGAGAATCAGAATAACTCCATCTCGGGGGGAAAGAAATCCTATCGCGAGCCAGAGGCGAGCGAGTAGAATACAGAAGAAGAAGAAGAAACTTATATTGCTTCGAAGTACAAGACTTATCGCACGCCGACCCAACCGCCTAAAACACGAACCGAACCGAACAAAAGAAAGAAAGAAAAGAAAACAACAAACGCAAATGCAAACGAACAAGAACAAGAACAAAACAAGCACAAGCGAGCACGAACAATAACAAGGAAATTCCAGAACAACACTTCAACCAGAAAACCCAACGACAAGGAGAAATAACATATCTCAGCGGACTCGAGCGCTGGATCCACCAAAACAGAAAATAAAAAACAAATTTTTTTAAAGAGTAAAAGGAAACTGCCCTTCCTAATCCCGTCCCTAATCATTTTCTTCCATCCCCTCTTCCAGGTCCGCCTCCGCCTCCGCCGACTCGTACCATTTCGAGAGTTGAGATTGTTTCGCAAATTGTAGGATGAGGTCCGTTCTCAGGTTTGTGAACATCCAGTTTTCCCAGGTCATCGCTCCGGGGATCTTCTCTATCAGAGGGGTGCGGATTCGAGCCCACGCTGGGCATTCCATAAGTATATGTTTCGCTGAGTTTTCCATACCACACTGGCATGGTTCGGGGTCTGTGTGTACTGCGTGTTTGTCGATTCGGGTGGTTTGGCACCGGATTCGAAATACTTTTTTTGCTTCCGTAAGGGTGAGTTTCGCTATCTTGGGAGGGGGGCAGAATTCCCCCCGGTGATGCTAGTTCGGTATTGATTGTGTGTTCCATTCTTCCAATAGGTGGTCGCGTAGTAGTTTGTTTTGGTTCCACTTATCTCTCGCATTTCCGGGGGTCTGGTATGGGAGTAGTAGGGAAGCGATTCGGCGTAAGTCTGTTCCTTTGATATTTGCTTCTCTGTATGGGAGGAGCTCGATCAGGGATTCGTTGTTGGGGTGGGTTGCATCGGTGCAGAGTATTCTAGTTCCGTACCTTCTTGAGCGGTATGTCAGGAGATGTTCTAAGGGGGGTAGGCCTGCTTCTCGGAGGTGTTTAGTTCTTTTGGTCCATCGTGGTAGGCCGGTGATGATTCGGGCCACTTCATTATATAGTGGTTCGAGGGATCTTATAATGTGGTCTGCGCCAGTCCACCAAGCCTCGGATCCGTAGAGTAGACTTGGGAGGAAGCCTTGTGTTATGATGTGATGGATTGTTTTAACCGTTATTCCTGGCAGGCGGGCGGTGTATCGAATCTGGTGGAGGGCTTTAAGGCCTTTTGCGATCGCTGCTTCGATGTGTGGCCGGAAGGAGAGGGTCGGATCTATCCAGACTCCTACATATTTCAGCCTCTCCTTGGGGTGTATATTGGTATTGTTAATTTTGACCGGAAGTCGTGGTTGTTGTGTGGATGATGTGGTGGGCCGGAAAAAGATCAGGTCGGATTTATCCGGGTCGTACTTAATTTGGAGTGGCTCAGCTTTTATTAGTCTCTCTCTCATTCGTTCTTCTATTCTCTTGATTGTGAAGCCTGGTGTTTTGGATATTTGCACCAGCGCATCGTCATCGATATATGTGGTGTCCATCTCTTTCGGGCTACTTGTTGGGTCCAGGATTACTCCAGCATAGATCATGAATAGTACCGGGGACATGGGGCTACCTTGCGGCACTCCAGAATCATAGGGCTGTGGTTCCTCTAGCTCATGGTTAAATTGAAACTGTAGCTTTCTGCCGGTATTGAATTCCTTGCACCATTCTGTTAAGTAGGTAGGGAATTTTTGTTGGTACATGATTTCCGCGAGGACTAGGTGGTCGACGCAGTTAAATGCTCCTTGGATATCGTTGGTTAGGATCGCTGGTCTGTCTCGCCGAGCGATTCCGGTACTGTTTTTCAGTAGTAAGTTTTGTTGTATTGGTGTTAAGGTTCTCAGGAGGGCGTCGATTGCCGAAATGGTTGGTCTTCCTCCAAATTTTTTCACTGAGAGTGTGCCTAGGATTTCTCCAGCGGTGCAGAGTCTCTGAGCCACTATCTTCTCCAGAATTTTGCTGAAGCATTGTAGAAGGGAAATGGGCCGGTAGGCTTTTGCTTCATGATAGTTTGCTTTGCCGGGTTTCGGGATCGGGATGCACTTAGCTATTTTCCATTCCGCTGGGTGTACCCCGTGCCGGAGCATGGCACAGAACATGTCTTGAATTAGAGTTGTGTTTGCTCTCACTATTGCTTTGATAAAGGTATAGGGGATGCCGTCCGGGCCGGTCGCCGAGTGCGCTGGGCAGGAGTCGATTGCTTTATTAAGTTCTTCGGCGGTGACTATGTCGAATGTGTTGCTAAGGTCAAAAGAGGGGGACCTAATGCTTAGGGGGGGATGGTCGGGGGACGTCCGTTTTGAGGGGAAAAGTTGGGCTCTTAGAGCTTGACACTTCCCCGCAAACGTTTCTTCACCTTGTATTGTTGGTATGATTGTGTCTCTTCTCCTTCCTGCATTTAGGATTCTCCAGACCTTACTACCTTTCGCCTCGTTCATCGTCTTTTCCCGCTGGTCCGCTTTTGCTTTCCGGATCATGGCTGTCCATTCTCTGCATGCCTTCCGGTGCTCCTCCGCGTGGTTGGGTTTCTTTGTATTTCTCGCCTTCCTTTCTGCCGCGTTTACCCTTGCCTTCATTTGTTTCATTTCCTCTGACCACCAGGAGTTGGCTCTTACTCCTTCCTTCGAGAGTGGTGTTACTATACTGATTGTTGCCCTGACCAGTTCTAGGAAGAAGTCGACAGTTTGTTCCGTATGTTCCTTGGTTCCCATGCCTCTGCAGGGAGAGAAATGTTTGACATATGGTTCTCCAAGAGCTTCCAGTCTGTTTGTCGCCACATTCGTCTTGGTACGAATGGTGGTTTTTCCAAGTGTAAGTGAACGGAGGTTCTCCCGTGGTCTGAGCCCGCTCCATAGGGTTCAGTGCTCCATCGTAGGTTGTGGTCGAGAGCTGGGCCTTTTACAAATGTAAGGTCGATAATTGTAGGCCTTTTTCCTCTGTCTCTGGGGAAGTGCGTAAAGACGCCTGGTTCATTCAGGAGGGTCAATTTCTGTCGAGTTATCCATTGTTTTAGCTATGCACCGTTGGCGCGGTCTGCTCGGATGTTGTTTCTGTATTCATGTGATGTTACTCCGTACCACATTTGATGATGGCAGTTGAAGTCTCCCATTACTAGACAGTTGTCGAGGGTTTGGATTGTTTTTGCTATTTGGGCAAAGGGGCCACTTCGGCCTGGGGAGTATATATTTAGGATTTGGGTTTTCTTGTTCTGGATTTCTACCGTAATCGATACTATGAAATTATCGTGTGTGTAGTGGTGTTTTGGTTTGAGGTTGGCATGTTTGCGGACGTATGTTGCGCATTTCGTATTGGTGTTGCTGGCTGTAAAAATATAAAAGAGATTTGATTCTGGTGGGTATCCCTCTGCTGAGGTCCATGGTTCTTGTAGTAATAAAAAATAAATACTAGAGTCTGTTTCCGCTTCTTCTACCGCCGCCTTGGTAATAAGTTCGCTCCGTGCACAATTGAGTTGGTGTGCGAGCGCAGTGGTTCGAGGCCTAAGCATTATTTGTCATGTGTTGGTCGTCTTCGGGAACGGGTGTGGCTCCGACTGGGGCGGTGGCTGGTACTTGAACTATCGGAAGCAACTCTTGGACGGGTGCGGCCGGTGGGTCTTGGGCGGGTGGGGCGTTTTCCTTTCCTTTGTTGAGGAATCGGCGTTTGACTCTTTCGGGGCATGCTGGGTCGGAGGCCTTATGGATTCCTTTACAGTTCAGACATCTGATTGGGGTGTGGGTGCATCTATATCCTCCCTGGCATTGATTGCATGGGTGGAAGCTGGTGAGATGATCTCCGGCACAGTGACCGCATCTCCCATTGTTTTTGCATTTCTCCTGGCGGTGACCGTATTCGAGGCACTTCGCGCACTGGGTGTCTGGGAAGGTTGGGAGGAAGGCCTCGATGTGGCAGCTTCGGTTAAAGAGGGATAGGAACTTAACTCCTAGTGTTTCCATTGTAACTTGTCCTGGGAGCGCGATGACCATTGATGAGTGGGTTTTCTCCATTCGAGTCTCTGCTCTGGAGATCCAGCGGGGAACCTGGGCAAGTTAGAAGTTCTCTCCATAGTTGCTTCTAATTTCGGATGCTACCAGTTGTCCTGCCTCAACGCCTTCTCCCATCGTAGTAGGGATTCCGTGGATAAGGAATTTTGACCATTTGGAGTTTGCGCGGATGATCGCGACCGGTACTTGTAGGGTGAGGAGAGCCTCCTCAATTTCTTTGGCGTATTCCATTGCCTTTGTTGCTGGGGTGATAAACTTGGTTTCCAGGATGAAGTTATCCTTAGGTGTTCTCCTTGCTGAAATGAAGTGGCAGGATTCGTCCTGAATTCTTGCATTGACTAGGGTCCTGATTTCAGAGGGATTGACATCGGATGGAGCAGTGGTTTCAACAATGATTTCTCTGTTAATTTTGGTATATTCTGGTTTGAAGAGAGGGTCCGCTTTTGGCTTTGCGGGCTTCTTTCTTCTCTCGACAACCTGGAAGTTTCCTAGGGCAGGACCGGGTGCCGAGGCCACGGTGGCCCAGGTGCCTGCCTTCCATCCACGGGGTGGGACTTGTTGGGGAGGTGCGGGTGGGGGGGCCTGAGGAGCTGCCTGTGGCGCTGCTTGGGGGATTGTTTGGGGAACCGCTGGAGGCGCCGTTCTCTTTCTTTATTGCGGTTGTTGTGGATGTTGGTGTTGCTGCTGTTGTTGTTGTTGCTGCTGTTGTTGTTGCGGTTGCTGCGGTTGTGGTTGTTTATTGAGGAGGGCGTGAATCGCCGAATGCATGTTGGTGATCATGTTTGTTTGGGCCTCAATTTGGTGTTTCAATGTATCCACTGTTCTCCGGAGTGTAGTTGTTTGCTCTTCGAGGATTTCGATCCTGTCGGAGGGTGGGCAGATCCGGCTGGTTGCATGTCTGATGGCCCAGGTGATATAGTTTAGGTCCGTCTGGGTGTGGGTGTCTTGAGGGACAATGCTCGGGTAGAGGTAGTCAACGCTCGGTTGGTAAGGATCGTTATAGTCAGATTCTTTTGCAAAGATCGAGGAGAATTCCTGTTCCTGTGTTCCGGATGGGGTTTGGTTGGGAACCTGGGTGTTCCTGATCTGTGAGGGGGCTGTCCCTTGCTGGGAGGACTGGGTGAAGAAGGACTGGAGTGAAGCTTGCTGTGACATGATTGAATGTCCGGTTCTTCGGGCGGCGTAGAGTGATGTTTCGGATAAGTTCCTTTTCCTTCCTTTCGGGAGGTCAAGACTGGAGAATTCTTCGCTGGAAGCCAGTTTTCGTAGGTTTCTTTCGCTTGGACCAACAAAACGCGACCGTACGATCGGGGACGAAGTGGCTCAGCCTGGTATGGTATACCAGGGTAAACCGAGGAAAGTAAAATAAAGTGTTTTTAAAGCGAGGTTTGTTATCAGGGAGTTCTTTGCGAGCCTTAGCGAGCAAGTAGAATACAGAAGAAGAAGAAGAAGAAGAAACTTATATTGCTTAGAAGCCGAAGCTTATCGCACACCTAACTACCCGACTACAACCTCCACCGACTAACCCGAAAACAAAAACAAAGTACAAAAACTAACTACCGCAGCTACGAGAACTACGTACATAAATAAAAGTAAACAACGCACGAAGAGGGCGCAAATAACAAGTGGTACAGGTAAGCAGAATCTAAGCGACAACAAAGAAACCTCCCCGTAGTAAAAATGAACCCCAAACTTCTCCGTCAACTACATAAGCGAGCACAATCCTAAACGTAGTGTTCAATCGAAACGATATCATTACCAACGTTGCCGGTGTCATATCTGTGGACGAACCTTAACAGGACTGGGAAACCACCCGCACGAAGGCAGGAGAAGCCAACCGCAACAGCGTCAGGGTGGAAGCGAGGGGGGTGGTGTAAGAGTGGGTCCTCGGGCGTCTGGTTGTCAGGCAGCGAGGAGTTGAGGAGTGGTGACCGGTAGGTCAAGTAAGAAGTGGGTGGGGTCGTCGGTCCCTGGAGCAACGGCTAAAGACTGTGCCCGAGTCGTGTTTGAAGTAGAGTCCTCTGGAGGGGACATGCAAAATGGGTTGAGCCGACGGCTCAGTATGTATGGGGGTCGCAATCGAAAGTGCCGACCGTATTGTGTTGAGGGTGGTCTCGGAGACCGGTTTAGGTTGGGGTGAGGGGAGCGGGCCGCCTCGGGTAAAAGTGGGTGGCCTGGTTAAGGCCGATAAAGAGGGGTAAGGTCACGGGACCTCGGGTAAAAAATTTGACGATAGTTTCGCGACCAAGAGGTCGCTAACTTCGCGGGCTGTCGAGCGCTTTGGCAGTAGGTTCTCGCTGACTGGAGATTACTGACAGTGTGCGTACCCGACTTGTGGGATCACTCGTGCGATGAGTGAAAATAAGGAGGGGCGAAGGCGGCTTTCGAAAGTAGCCGCTGGTTTGGCGAGGGGTGAACGGTGGACGCATCCCATGAGGGCACCAAACGAACAAAGAATGGGGGGTGTCGAGCGAGGGAAGTTCAGGGACCGAAGCAATTCGAGAATCAGTATAATTCCATCTCGGGGGGAAGAAATCCTACCGCGAGCAAGAGGCGAGCGGGTAGAATACAGAGAGAGAGAGAGAGAGAATCTTATATTGCATAGAAGCCGGAGCTTATCGCACACCTAACTACCCGACTACAACCTCCACCGACTAACCCGAAAGCAAAAACGAAGTACAAAAACTAACTACCGCAGCTACAAGAACTGCGTACATAATAAAACAAAACAGCGCACGAAGAGGGCGCGAATAACAAGTGGTACAGGTAAGCAGAATCTAAGCGACAACAAAGAAACCTCCCCGTAGTAAAAGTAAGAACCCCAAACTTCTCCGTCAACTGAATTAGCGAGCACAATCCTAAACGTAGTGTTCAATCGAAACGATATCATTACCAACGTTCCCGGTGTCATATCTGTGGACGAACCTTAACAGGACTGGGAAACCACGCGCACGAAGGCAGGAGAGGCCAACCGCAACAGCGTCAGGTGTGAAAGCGAGGGGGGGTGGGTCGAGTGTGGGTCCTCGGGCTTCTGGTTGTCAGGCAGCGAGGAATTGAGGAGTGGTGACCGGTTGGTCGAGTAAGGAGTGGGTGGGGTCGTCGGTCCCTGGAGCAACGGCTAAAGACTGTGCCCGAGTCGTGTTTGAAGTGGTGTCCTCTGGAGGGGACATGCAAAAAGGGTTGAGCCGAAGGCTCAGTATGTATGGGGGTCGCAATCGAAAGTGCCGACCGTATTGTGTTGAGGGTGGTCTCGGAGACCGGTTGGGTTGGGGTGAGGGGAGCGGGCCGCCTCGGGTAAAAGTGGGTGGCCTGGTTAAGGCCGATAAAGAGGGGTAAGGTCACGGGACCTCGGGTAAAAAATTTGACGATAGTTTCGCGACCGAGAGGTCGCTAACTTCGCGGGCTGTCGAGCGCTTTGGCAGTAGGTTCTCGCTGACTGGAGATTACTGACAGTGTGCGTACCCAACGTGTGGGATCACTCGTGCGATGAGTGAAAATAAGGAGGGGCGAGGGCGGCTTTCGAAAGTAGCCGCTGGTTTGGCGAGGGGTGAACGGTGGACGCATCCCATGAGGGCACCAAACGAACAAAGAATGGGGGGTGTCGAGCGAGGGAAGTTCAGGGACCGAAGCAATTCGAGAATCAGTATAACTCCATCTCGGGAGGAAGAAATCCTACCGCGAGCCAGAGGCGAGCGGGTAGAATACAGAAGAAGAAGAAGAAGAAACTTATATTGCTTTGAAGTACAAGACTTATCGCACGCCGACCCAACCGCCTAAAACACAAACCGAACAACAAAAGGAAAAGGAAACAACAAACGCAACAAACGCAAACAAACAAACAAGAACAAAAGCGAACACGATCGAACACAAGCAAAGGTAAGGAAATTCCAGAACGACACTCAACCAGAAACAACCTATCGACAAGGAGAAATAACATATCTCAGCGAACTCGGGCGCTGGATCCATCAAAACAAATTAAAACCAAAGTTTAAAAAGGTAAAAGGAAACCACCCTTCCTAATCCCGTCCCTAATCATTTTCTTCCATCCCCTCTTCTAGGTCCACCTCCGCTTCCGCCGACTCGTACCACTCCGAGAGTTGAGAATTTTTTGCAAATTGTAAGATAAGGTCCGTTTTCAAGTTTGTAAACATCCAATTCTCCCAGGTCATCGCTCCGGGGATCTTTTCTATCAAAGGGGCGCGAATTCGAGCCCACGCTGGGCATTCCATAAGTGTGTGTTTCGCTGAGTTTTCCATACCACACTGGCATGGTTCGGGGTCTGTATATACCGCGTGTTTATCGATTCGGGTAGTTTGGCACCGGATTCGAAAAACTTTTTTCGCCTCCGTTAGGGTGAGTTTCGCAATCTTGGAAGGGGGGCGGAACTCCCCCCGGTGATGGTAGTCCGGTATTGGTTGTGTATTCCATTCTTCCAACAGGAGGTCGCGTAGTAGTTTGTTTTGATTCCACTTGTCTCTCGCATTTCCGGGGGTTTGATATGGGAGTAGGAGGGAAGCGATTCGGTGTAGACCTGTCCCTTTGATGTTTGCTTCTCTGTATGGGAGGAGCTCGATTAGGGATTCGTTGTTAGGGTGGGTTGCCTCGGTGCAGAGTATTCTGGTTCCGTACTTTCTTGAGCGATACGTTAGGAGGTGTTCTAGGGGGGGTAGTCCTGCTTCTCGGAGGAGTTTAGCTCTCTTGGTCCATCGAGGTAGGCCCGTGATGATCCGGGCAGCTTCGTTGTATAGTGGTTCGAGCGATCTAATGATGTGGTCCGCACCAGTCCACCAAGCCTCAGATCCATAGAGTAGGCTTGGAAGGAAGCCTTGTGTTATTAGGTGATGAACTGTCTTGACTGTTATCCCTGGCAGACGGGCGGTGTTTCGGATTTGGTGGAGGGCTTTTAGGCCTTTTGCGATTGCTGCTTCGATATGAGGCCGGAAGGAGAGGGTCGGATCTATCCAGACTCCTACGTATTTCAGCCTTTCCTTGGGATATATATTGATGTTATTAACCTTGACTGGGAGTCGTGGTTGTTTTGTGGATGATGTAGTGGGCCGGAAGAAGATCAGGTCGGATTTATCCGGGTCGTACTTGATTTGGAGTGGCTCAGCTTTTATTAGTCTCTCTCTCATTCGTTCCTCCATTCTCTTGATTGTGAAGCCTGGTGTTTTGGATATTTGCACCAGTGCATCGTCATCGATATATGTGGTGTCCATCTCTTTCGGGCTACTTGTTGGGTCCAGGATTACTCCAGCATAAATCATAAATAGTACCGGGGACATGGGGCTACCTTGCGGCACTCCAGAATCATAAGGCTGTGGTTCCTCTAGCTCATGGTTAAATTGAAACTGTAGTTTTCTGCCGGTGTTGAATTCCTTGCACCATTCTGTCAGATAGGTGGGGAATTTTTGTTGGTGCATGATTTCCGCGAGGAGTAGGTGGTCGACACAATTGAATGCTCCTTGGATGTCATTGGTTAGGATCGCTGGTCTATCTCGCCGGGCGATTCCGGTGCTGTTTTTCAGTAGTAGGTTTTGTTGTATTGGTGTCAAGGTTCTCAGGAGGGCGTCGATTGCCGAGATGGTTGGTCTTCCTCCGAATTGGTTTGCTGAGAGTGTGCCTAGGATTTCTCCAGCGGTGCAGAGTCTTTGGGCCACTATCTTCTCCAGGATTTTGCTAAAGCATTGTAGAAGGGATATGGGCCGGTAGGCTTTTGCTTCATAATAATTTGCTTTACCGGGTTTCGGGATCGGGATACACTTAGCTACTTTCCATTCCGCTGGGTGTACGCCGTGCCGGAGCATAGCGGAGAACATGTCTTGGATTAGAGTTGTGTTTGCTTTGACTATTGCTTTAATAAAGGTATAAGGGATGCCATCCGGGCCGGTCGCCGAATGCGCTGGACAGGAGTCGATTGCTTTGTTAAGTTCTTCGGGGGTGACTATGTCGAAGGTGTTGCTAAGGTCAAAAGAGGGGGGTCTAATGTTCAAGGGGGGATGGTCGGGGGACGTCCGTTTCGAGGGGAAAAGTTGGGCTCTTAGAGCTTGACACTTCCCCGCGAACGTTTCTTCACCTTGTATGGTTGGTATGATTGTGTCTCGTCTCCTTCCCGCGGTTAGGATTCTCCAGACTTCACTACCTTTCGCCTCGTT